AAAACCAGTGGATGTTGGACCATAACTGAGATTAAAGCTCAATTTGCAATAGTCCAATATAAAGAGTGAGCACACTGAGCGAAGGACTGAATGTTATTCTCTGAAACAACCTGTATGAATGAGAAACCCAGGGAGTAGCTACTTGAACTTGATACTTTCAACTCACAAGCAAATTTCTGCTAGCATTAGAGGCATGATGGCACTTCAAAAGAGATGAGACATCAAATTCCACAAAAAGACTTCTTAGCAACTCTGTGACAGTAGTGGCAAACCTCCTGTACCCCTTAGGTTAGTGATCACAGGAGACCTCTCTCATTTGAACTATCTCTTAAAAATGATTTTAAATAATAACAATTAAAAAACAACAGAAAATAGAAATGCTTGAAGGCAACTCATGCATTCTTTTACTCTCACATGCCTTCCTCTTTGTGCTATTGTTGGTAAAACTATGCAGTTATGCAAGTCACGGTTTGACTAAATTACAATCATACCGAATGTTCATAAATTGGTCAGAATGGTGGTAGAAGCATGAAAACTAAAAGGAAATGTACATACTAGAAGAAGGACAGACAGGGAAAAGTAAAAAAAAAAAAAAAAAAAAAAAAAAAAAAGCAGCACTGAAAGTTTGGTGTTTCTTTGAGCAGTCTTATCTTGATGTTTTCTTTTGCATGGGTCAAGAAACAGTGATGTTACCATAGTGAGTGCAATGTGTAGCTCCCCTAGACAGCATTATCCCACTGTTACTCAGGAAAAAGCAAGTCTCATCTACAGTAGCAAATGCTACAGACTTTTAGGAGTGCAGCATGTGGGCTCTTGTCCATTGCTGGCAGAAATGCAAAGCTAATGGTGTTACTGTGCTCTTTGTATCTGTTGTAGTTTCTTTGGAAATTAAAGGAGGCAACCTACATACATTCCTGGAAAGAAAGTACTCTTCAGAATTACGAGGAAGCATTAAAATGTAAGTTGTTTCATGTGGCCTTAAAAATTACAGTGTCATGTATGATCTGTTGATTTAGTTTCCCTCCTTCTCTCAAAATAAACCCCAGTGGGAAAAGAGGGAGAGACTATAGATATTTTAGCTACTGACTTTGCAATTTTTACATTCCCTTGCCAAATTCTTGATGTTTTCCAGACCTGCACTGGCAGATAAATACAAGCCAGTTGGGATACTATATCAGTTACTGCAAACTGTAGTAACTCAGTACAAAGCACAGTAAAGAAAGATGTATTAAACTATAGAGCAATGAAACCGTACTAGAGGTGAGAAACGATGGTGAAGTTAGTGTTGAGGGTGTAGGATAAGGATGAAGAGGAGAAACTCCACAAAAACCAACCAAGTAAAAAGCCAAACCAAAAGAAAACAAACAAACAAACAAACAAAAAGCAAACGAAAACCGACACAGCAGATCTGCCAAAAACAGCATGCTACCTTTGGTATGTGGCATTGCACATCATGAAGCAATTTTATGTTGACTGTACTGCAGTTGCCTTCTTGAAATTTAAAAGTAAATCACAATGAAAAAGCAGGAATGGCCCAATACTTACCACATCGACAAAGTTAAACTAGTTGTGTCATCTAGTGGGGATGGGTAAGGGGAATGCCATTCATGATGGGATTTCTGCCAACGACTGTTATTCAAGTGATATTTTTTAACAATGATCCTATATTTCGCAAGCTGCTATGCTTAAGCTCCTTGTAAGGAAACAAAAAAGAAGCAAGCACTTAAGCATGAGATTTCTTAACTGGATATGGTAAGGATGCACACAAAGCGGTTAAGAGCACTTAGAGAGATGCTGTAGAAATAATCTCTCCATATTCCCTTGCTTTCTAGCTTTGATTGGCATTTATAAGAAACAATTTTCCTACTCATACCGGAGACGTAACTGGCAGGAGAAAAAACAATACATAGGAGGAAGGAAAACAGATTGGAAATAGCTGTGAAAAACAAGGAATAGATAGTGACAGATGTGGGAGTGAAGGTGACAAAGACTGGTTTAGAGTGGAGGTTGCCAGCTGTAGGAAATCATTCATTTACAGCTGAGCATTATGCCAGGTAAAGGAGTAAGGCTTCCTTACACACTAATTGCACCTTCAGTGTAAAAGCCTGAACTTATAGGTATTGAGCTCTGGAGCTTAATGGCATAAGTGCAGTGGTTTTTTTCTTGTACCTCCCGAAGCAGATGTTCCTACAGAAACAAATGGTCTTCCTCAACAACAACAAAGGAACTGTCTCCACGTAAACCCTTCGCAGAATTTTAGTCTAAACTAGCATGCAAAACTATTACACTTTATATTCTTGTTCAGTTGGAAACGTAGGCCAACATCCTGTTAACTCCCAACACAAGGAGAAAAGCAAATGTGATTAATTACTGTTGCCATTAACTTTGCATATGTTTGTGAGCAAAGAACTGATAAAAAATCTGATGTAAACTGAAAGTATTCAAGGCACTGGTAGACAACTGGGCATATGATTTCCCTGTCTCTCTGAGAACTGAGGAGAGAATTGCCCTTAGCATTTCAATTTAGCAGTTGGTTAAGGAACTTTCACCTCTGGCCTTCTATTGTATTCCTTTAAACTTCATTTCATCTAGAAAAGTTTTCAGAGAAGTCAGAAGAGGTAGCAGAGAGATGAGTTCAGATGTGTTTTTATACCTGTTACATCTACTGATTTTTTTCTCATCAGCAAGGTAACTGATTACAATTATCTTCTATTACAATAATCTTTGATTATGATTATCTTCATTTCCTTGCTTCTTCTTTGCTCACTTGCAAAGCTCACAGCAATGAAAACGTTACCCATACTTTAGAATGTTAGAAAATCTGTGTTTTAGAAGGATATGGTCATCCTCAGAGCTGAAAATGAATACTGATTATTGACTCTGGAAGTCAGACTTCAGCTTTTCCATGTTAACTCCTAAAAGTCTCTTAGATTGCTGATTAATAATTCTGGGGTTTTCTAAATTAATATTTTGACTTAGTAAATTAGGTTACTAAGTGGGAATTTGATTACATGGTGATGTACATAGGAATAGATTTTCCCAAAAGGGTTATGTGGGCTGAAGCTCCTTACATTCACACCAGCCAGTGTGATGCACCTGGTGCTACACAGCTGTCCTGTTTAAATGAAGGCTGTATTGGCTCCTGGTACTGAGCTTCAATTACAGAGCACACAAGGGTAAAATATTCAAGATTGCAATAAAGCTTTACTGGAGTACAGGTCTACTACCTCATATCATCCCCCATGAAGCACACACTAAAAAAAGCTGTGTAACTGAGGTTGCTTTTCATACTATCAGCATATGGTATGAAAATATAGCATAGAATATAGAAAATATACCTCAGGCACCTGACAGTAGCATTTTAAGCTCTCTCTCAAGCTTTAAGGGTGTGAATCCAGCTACCTCACACTAGTGACAAGACATTTAAATCACAGCTAAAGTTTCTTTTTCAAGCTAATCTTTCTGACTGCTCTAACATGGGTTGGAAGTTGTGTCAGTTCCAGCTGAGAAACAGTTCAAGAAGATTCTGCCTTGAAGTGCTGAAAGAATCACTGAATTAGAAAGCTTGGTCCTTTCCAGTGCAAAGGAAAACAGGTTAATTAAGCATTAAATAACGATGACAAAAATGCTGTTTTAAGTGACTATTGAGCCAGCTGTGAAATGCTCACAGCCAGTCCCCCAGGCCTGTTGGATGGTGAGTAGGGAGCAGCAGCAGCTACACGTGCTGCCACCAGCCCACCTTAACTGGAGGACCACTCAGGTATACACATAAAGCTAAGGCGTTCATGCTGGCTGCAGGAATGAGGCCATTTTGTCTGCAAAGCTCAGCTGCAGCACCCAGTGTGAGGTTGCTCGCGTACCCAAGTACAGGTTAAGGGCTGACCTACTGGAAAAGAGCTCTGCAGAGAAGGACCTGAGTGTCCAGGTGAACACTAGATTGGCCATGAGCCAGCAGTGTGCCCTTGTGGCCAATTATATAAGGCTGATGATATCCTGGGGTGCGTTAAAAAAGAGAATGGCCAGCAGGTTAAGAGGAGGTGATCCTCCCCTTCTACTCTGCCCTGGTGAGGCTGCATCTGGAGTGCAGTGTCCAGCTGTGGGCTCCTCAGTTCAAGAAAGACAAGGAACTTATAGAGAGAGTACAGCAGAGATGTTGAGCAGCCTTATGCTGAGAGACCTGGGACTGTTTGGCTGGGAGAAGACTGATGGAGGGATCTCATCACTACCTCATAGAATTACAGGATGGGTTGGAAGGGGCCTTTAAGATCATCGAGTCCCAAGTAGTTCCAACCCACCCGCTACAACAGACAACTCCCTCTAGACCAGGTTGCTCAAAGCCCCATTCAGCCTGACTTTGTAAACACCTAAAGCATGGGAGTCGAGCAGATGGTGGTGGACTCTTTCCAGCGGTGTGCAGCAACAGAACAAGGAGCAGCCTACTGCAGGGAACATATTTTAGCAGGAGGTTGGACTTGATGATCCCCACAGGTGCCTTCCAACACTTAGGATTCTGTGACTTGGCTGGGGGCTGATCCTGTGAGCCCCGGTGACGTTGCCCAGAGAAGCTGTGGATGCCCCATCCCTGGAGGCGTTCAAGGCCAGACTGGATGAGCAGCCTGACCTGCTGGGTGCCAGCCCCACCCTCAGCAGGGCCTTGGAATTGGATGTTTTCCATGTATGTGAAGCCCCTTCCAACCTAAACCGTTCCACGATTCTACAATTCTGCAGAATCCCTGGATCTTCTCACAGGCTTTCCTATACTTCCAATTTATCTCCAATTGGATCATATTAGAAGGCCTCGCTTAGGAAACAGGTGCAGGATCGCGTTTCTCCCTGGTGGGCCAGAGGTACACACCGGGGCGATGCGGCAGCCCACGCCCAGGGCAGGGCGCTGAGCGGCTCGGCCGCCGCCACGCCCGCCCCGGTCCCGTTGGTCGGGGCGGAACCCTTCAGCGTGGCGCCGCTTTCCGCCCGGCCGCCGCCGCGCGGTTGCCCGGTAACGTCGGCGCGGGCGGGGCGCGGCGCGGCGCTGCGGGGAGAGCGGCCCGGTGCGGAGGCTCGGCGGCACCGTGATGCTGGAGCAGGACGGCGGGCTCTCCCTCACCATAGCGCGGATCGTGCAGCGGCTGAAGGGCTCCAGCCTCCACACCCAGCTGGAGCGACAGGCCCGGGTGAGCCCTGCACCCAGGCCCGTCTCCCTCTCCCCGCCTCGCCGCTTTGTTCCCGGCGTTGTGTCCCTGCTCCGCGCGGTCCCGGGGCCTCCCGCCGTCCTTCCCCGCTTGCCCGGTCGCTGTTTATCGTTCCTCCCTGTGGGGCCGGAGGATTTCGCAGGCAAAGCGCGGGCTGCTTTCTGCCTATCTCACCTGCTCCGATAGTGAGCGGCTTTGGGTTGCAATCCGCGATTTGCGGAGCTTTGTGCCCCTCCGCTGCCTTCCTCCGAAGTGCCCTCTGGGGAGACGGGGGTTTGGTGAAAGGAAGTGAAAATAAATGGAAAGTGCACTCGAAAGTTCGTTCTGTAGCTGGGAAAGCGGTTGTATTTAGTAACTGGTCTGTGCATGAGACCTCGGCTTCTCATGTTCCAGATGAACCCCTTCAGATTAAATTTGTATCTGTTTTCATGACCGTAATGACATGGTATTGGTGCTGCAGCCGTTGTTCTGCTTTACTGAACTCTTTGGGGTTTGATTTCATGGAATTTTGGATTTCATAGAATTTGGGGTTTTATTTAATGTTTTGTAAACAATGTGTGAAGTTGTAGAGATTTGGTTCTGGGCAGAGTGCCCATTGTTTGCCTTAAATTTGTTTGGTTTTGAAATGAAGAATGGTTTTCTTCTCTGAACGTCCTTAAGGCTTTCTCCAGCAGGAGACATCATAGAATCATAGAATGGCTTGGGTTGAAAAGGACCACAATGATCATCTTGTTCCAATCCCCTGCTATGTGCAGGGTCACCAACCACCAGACCAGGCTGCCCAGAGCCACATCCAGCCTGGCCTTGAATGCCTCCAGGGATGGGGCATCCACAGCCTCCTTGGGCAACCTGTTCCACTGTCACTACCCTCTGAGTGCCTTCTTTGTTTCTTTTGTTGTTAGAAGCATCTGCCAGTTTGGTCCTTAATACTGTTTTAAATGCATGTCTGCTGTGCTTTTGTTGAGTGGCAGCTCTCTATATTCAGCATCTTAAACAGAGGGCCTGACATGGCATGTAGAGAATGAAGGGATTTCAGAACAGGAGTCTCTTCCAACAACTCCATCACTGATGACAATAAAACGCATGTTCACCTCTGCTTTTGTTTTCTTGCGCTCTGACTCCTGGAGGCCTTGTTTATGGCTATTGGTACCTACACATCTGTTTTGACAAGTGGCCAGGACTTGGTGGGTTGTTATGGTATGCAGTACCAGTGGGCAGGCTGAGAACTTTGAGTGCCCTTATCAGGACAGTTAGATGTCTGAGTCTCATTCCTCGAAAATATCCAGCATCTCTGAAAACATGAGTCACAATGGAACACACAGTCTATTTTAATACCACTAGATATTTTTAAGATGTCTTGTAAACATTATTTTAGCTGTTTCGTAAATTGATCTCTTCTTTAGAGTCTATGAAGGGGAGCTCAGAATGAACAGCCTCTTTCACCTGTTAATAATTTTGAGCAAAACACAATTTCCTGATGTTATTTGTGAGAGATGATAGAAGAGTCCTGTGGTTATGAATTGATCCCACCAGTGCTCTGTTTGACGCAGCCTGCACCTGTGTCAGGGGCTGTGATGCACGATGTCTTTAAAATAAGTTTAGTGTGGGTGCAAAATGATCTACTGTCACAGTTATCATCAGATAATTACATTTTTTTGTCCTGAGAAATGAAATAGGGTAGAGTCGTGTGCTTGTTAATGAAGACTGGAAAAAGAAATGTTTAGTTGATTCCATAGGGTGAGTTTTAATGTTGATAGTGTGTCTATAGTTAATGCAATGAGATGAATACAGAAAAAAAGTGAGCATGCTTTTTCACTCCATGCTCATTTAGAGGCCTTGCAGCCCTCCTCTGGACCTGCTCCAAATGCTCTGCATCCATCCTATACTGCAGGCCCAAGGCTTGGACACAGTGTTCTGGATGGAGCCTTACAAGGTCTGAGTAGAGGGAGACAATCACCTCCCTCTCTCTGCTAGCCACCCTTCTTTGGATGCAGAGCAGGGTACCGTTGGCTCATGTCCATGAGGACTCCTAGGTATGCTCTCAAGGAGCTCTCCCAGTCTGTACAGATGTCTGGGGTTTCCCTGGCCCAAACACAACACCTTATACTTGGCCTTGTTGAACCTCATTAGGTACATGCGAATCCACTTCTCCGGCTTGTCCAGGTCCTTCTAAATGGCATTCCTTCCATCTGTTGTATCAACTGCACCACTCAGGCTGGTGTCACCAGCAGACTTGCTAAAGGTTCACTCAATCTCACTGGCTGTGTCATTGATAAATATGTTGCAGAGCACTGGTCCCAAGACAGACCCTAGGGGACTCCATTTGTGACCTTCCCTTTCTGAAATGCTTTTAAGGTAAAGTGTGGGGGTGTCTAGAAAAACTGAGATGTGGAAATCTTCAGGCACGAACTTTAGTTTGAGATCAGATGGAATGATTCAGAAATCTGACATCACCTTTTAAATGTGGATGTTTAACAGAATATTAAAAATTTTTCTTTCTTTTTAGACCTCTAACAGAAATCTGTCTGACCCAGGCTTGCCAGGTGACCAGGGGCAAATGACACATAAAGCTTTTTTTAACTAAAAGTAAAATAAAATAAAAGCCCTAGTATTGTTTTTCCTAAAGAACTTTTCTGAACCAGCAGATGAGAGTAAAGTGTAATAAAGGTTCTAAATTAAGTTCTGTAAAGCAAGCAATACTCACAAAACAAGGAATCCCTCCTGACATTTTCTGTATAGACATTTTCAGATTTGTTTTTCTTGTAGGATGCTTGTGGTGGGTGTACTTGAAGGAGAGCTTGTAGCAGATCAAGACAGTGCTGACTGAATAAGCTGAAAGATGAAACTGGACTGTAAAAGTCAGCCCAGACACTCCCACCCCAGTCTGGTAACTCAGGTGTGTAGGATGGAGTGAAGAGGGAACACATGTGGGAAGTGGTAAAAGGTTTCAAGAGGTTCTTGAAGGTATCAGCAAGATATAGCGAGGAGGTCAGCTGGAATACATGATCAGAATGGCTGGCCAGAAAAGAGGACACCATCAGCACTCTTGGAGCAGACATGTAACTACTTCCAAAGGATCTAAAGGGACTACTGATCTGAGTGAGAGGTACTGATATTCACAAGGCTTGGAATGGTGGAGGGAAGAGAGGAGCGTTGGGAGTGATGCCTCTTAAAGTTGGGGTGCTGCCTGAGTGTGTGCTTTGAGAGGGAGTGTGTGAACTTTTTAGATTAATTCATCTGGTGTAAAAGTTTGCAAGATATCTGAAGGTATTATTTCATGACTTTTTTTTCCCCCTAACATTAAAGAGAAATTGATAATGATTCCTACTTAAGTAAAAGATCAAACTGAGAAATAAAATGTTTTTGTGAATGCAGTATTTATTTGATAAAACTTAGCAAGTAAACATAAGCTCATGAGTCGTCATGGGTAACAGATGATTTCTTTTTGTGCACTGTATTTGACAAATGACTTGTTATCACCTTTTGATAGAGCTTGTACTTTGGTCTAATTGGTCCAGCAGTAACATTGCAGTATAATTAATTTTAAATTGAATGCAGTTATGAATACTCTGAACAGATTGTCGAGTTCAGAAACAATGTCAGTGATTCAGGTTTAACTCACAGGTTTTATTTATCTATTTATTTTTAGTAATATGAATTAAATATATTTTAACTTGTGTTTTATTTGAAGCACTAATTTTATATTGAAATGAAACAGAAAAACTCGAATAGTGTGTTTTTGATGTTTAATTGATGTGATCTTGTGGGAGAATGTAGTGTTTGAAACTGTTTATTTCAGTATGGCACAAAGAGAAGCTGTCTGTTTCAACTGTTAAATTTTTGATTTTTTACCTTATATAAGAAAGCTGATAATACTTTCACTCTTAATTTAGCTACAGTAGAAATATGCAAGTGTAGGAAAAATGTTAATGTATTCAGGGTTTTATACTTATTGAAATTGGCTGTTATGCTCAGAATTATCCTCCTTTTGGTTACAGAAATGTGTAAAATAAATCCAGAATCATTCCCTTAAATGTGTAGGATTTTTAGGTGTTTAGAGAGTGCTTATACGGGAATTGCTGTGATCATAATTGAAATGATTTTGATCAAGTCAGCTTGATCCTAATTGAATCATTTATGATAATGACTGCCAACATCTTGACAGGATACTGTACCGAAGTCAAAGCTGTGCATGGAATGCAAACACTAAGGATTGATAATGTTACCTGAGCCACTTGTAAAAAGGTTTGGCAAAATTTTTCAAGTCCAGAAGTTGTGCTTTCTCTTCTGTACAGCTGAAAAACAAGAAGATGCTGACAAATGCTGTATTGATGGTTTGTTTTAGGAAGGAATGTCCAACAGCCAGTTGCCTCTTGATTTACAAGGAGTAGACAAAGGCTGTTGATGAAGGTGAACACTCAGCCCTTGAGCCCTGCTGTCCTATCCATAAAAATATTCACAATGCCAGTTAGACTGGAAAGGACACCAGCAGGCGTGAACATTGTTAAAAAATAATTTGTTTGCTAAAATATGCTGTATTTATCCCTGTCTCAGGATTCAGCCTTGGTCTGGCTGAGCCCATGAGTAGCATCGTTTCTTCCCTAGCCTGGCTGCCATTCTTTACCTTCCATTGCTCCTTTTCCTTTACTCTGCCTGTTATGATCTTCCTGATAGATTAAAAAGAAGAAAAAGATAGATACTCATTCATCAATATGTGTATATTAAAATTGGAGAGTCTGTCTGCTTCCGTGTACCTTGCATTTTGATCATGCAGGAAATTAATTCAGTTCATCAGTACGTCTCATCAAGGTGTGGGGTTCTTTTTCCCCAGTAAGCTGCAGTTGGTGTTTTTATCAGTGTATATCATAGTAATGCTTCCAGTATAAGAAAATGTTGTCAATGTGTTTTTCATGCTACCAAAAAAAAAAAAACAAAAACAAAACCAAACCCATAGTGGACAACAATGCAAATGATATTTGGGCAGTACATTGTATCAAGAGTTCAAAACAAAACTTACTGAAACACCTTAATGTTTTTTGCAGTATAGTATTAACAACTAGTAAGAAAAGTAACTAGCAGGAGTAACTTGTAATCACAGAAATGGTTTGGGTTGGAAGGGATGTTAAAGATTACAATGCTCTAGCCCTCCTTCCTTAGGCAGTGGAGTCAGAGTAGTTATCCAAACAAGAAATTAAAGTATATAGGAGACCCGGTCTACTAATTTTGGAAGATCGTCTCTGTCTCTGACCCCTTAATTTAATTCCCGTAAACACCCACATAAAATCAAAACATGAAGCGATTCAGATGGGGATTTCCTTTATCCTATCCAAATGAATCTTTTCTTTGGCAATATTATACTGCCCTAGGATGTGTTCTGCAGTGTTACAGCTAGCTGCAGCCACAAGCTGGACTGTCTGCCAGTTTCTTGTGTTTTGGGTATTAAATAGATCTGCAATCTCATGTACAATAAAAGAAATCCTTAGCAACAGCAGTGTCTTTGGTTCTGTAGCAGTTCTTTACACCTCGAGGTTTGTCCTTATTGATCATCTTTCTGTTTCAAAAAGCATGCCTGTGCTCTCTTTGCTATTGCAGTAATATACCAAATATCAAAGACTTCAATATCTGTAGTAAAGTGACTTGAAAGGAGAATTGCTGATCCTGATAGCCTTTTCATTTTTCAGTCATTCCCCCCCTTTTACAGGGAAAATTAGAAATATTTTTTAAAAATCTGCATTGTGAATGTGTGTAGACCAACTCTTTTAGCAAGCTGTGCTGCACAGTAAATGAGCTTTTCTATGTATATGTATATGTGTAAACTGTAAGGCAGATGACAAGGATGCAGAATTTGTTAGCTGAGTATGATGGAACAAAAGTTTGCCATGCTGTCAGCAGTGTTGTCTGTGCTGACACACTGCATGGGCATGAAAGCCTATTAGAAGCATGAGTTATCATAATAGACAACAGCTGACATGTCACCAACATATTGCTGAGTAGCTCTGGCTAAGCAGTATCCTGCATTTCTGGGGAGCTGAGGTGGCTGTGTGCTTCTAACATGCCTTGCTCTGGCATGGCTGGGGGGTAAGCTTCATAGATCTCCCAGTGTTATTTTAAGGTCAGCAGCCAAGGTTGCTATTCTCCAATCCTCTGGCTTTATCCTCTAGTGCTAATCAGCTGTTACCACTTTTTTGTGTTTTGAAAATTACACATTAAAGCCACTTCAAGAAAATCCTGAGTTTTTGATTGTTGTCCTTTTGGAACTTTTTGGTCTCTTTGTTGTCTCCTCTTAGTTTCACTGTGGAAGGAAGTACCATAGCAGCTGCTCATGCTGTTGCTGAAGAATCTACAGCAGGATTATAAAGCTAGTTGTTGCCCAGCTGGCATCTGTCAAATGCACTTCATTGCACATTGCTGTATATACCTTGTAATGACAGCTGCAGAGGTGAACGTTTGGCCCAGTTTTTATCTGAAGTTTGAAGATGGCACCTCTTATCTGATGGGTGAACTGTGGGAAGTTTGATTGGAAGCTGCAGAACATTTTCAATTTGATCATGTCAGTGACCAATCCTTTAATGTGCGGAACCTGGCATTTGTGCAAACTGTGTAGAGTACTTAGGAGTAGTAAGCATGTATGTCACAGATAGTCCTTCTCCCATTACCTGCACACAGCTTTTATCACAGACATAAAAGCAAAGATATTGACTTAGGGAAAAGTTGGCTGATTTTTTTTTTTATTATTGTTTTTTAACTGTAACAACTGCCTTCAAGTTACTAGGAAGTAATTTACTGTATGTATGTAATGTTAAGCTTGTATGTTTCTTATTTTATAACTGAATACACAGTTACTTTCTTTATAACGAGTGTTTGATGCTCATTTATTCTTTTTTTTCTTTTTTTTTTTTTTCCCATTAGATTAGCCTACACAACCCAGAAATTAAACTGGAATCATTAAAAGAAGATATTAAGGATTTTCTGAAGACATCAGGTTTGTAATACTTCAGATAATCAAGATGTGAAGTTGTTGGCACTTTGACATGGAGACGGTGTTAATTCTGGATTGTGTGAGGCATTGTGGAAATACACACAAAACAGTAGGTGATAACTTTATTAAATTATTAAACAGGATAGAGAAAACAAACGGGTAAAATGTTCTTGTATTGTGGCAGCATATGAACATGTGATGCAGAAATATGATATTGCCATTTTACAAGATGCTGGTAATATATTCTTTTTATGAAAGTTATGAATGAAACAAGTTCAGGCCATTTGGTAAATGGAAATTAGCATTTATGGAGGCCCTCTTTGAAATTTTACCCTTTGGTAAATTTTTATTGGATGTTGTAGGCTATATTGCTCTATAATGCAAAGATCTGATTATAAGTGATGTGTGGTTTGTAATCACCAGGAACACTATTTCTATTAACATTTATAGTTGTTTTGAAAATATGATGGTTTCAGAGGAATAGCTTATAATTGTTTAACCGAAGCTGTATCATAATTATTTGAACAGCAGATGGAAATAAAGGATATTCAACCTTTTTTTGTAGACTTTAGCTTGTAGTTTTACCTACCTTTATTAGGTTAAGGTGTCTCCCTCTCTTCCTGTCTGTCCAGTACATAGACTTGAATTGAGACAGGACAGAAAACTCTAGCAACTCTAAAGTAACCTCTGATTCGTGTTCCATTAGTATTAATTTCTTAAAATTGTCCAATTTCTTTTTTTTGTTGTTTCTTTGTTTCTTTAATTTGTATTTTAACAGGTTGGGAAAAGAAGCTTCAGAATGCTGTTTATAGTGAACTCAATGTGTGAGTTTCATTAGCATGTTAATTTATTAAGTTCTATTTGCATGATTTCCTTTTCATTCCTTTGTATATGAAGGTGTGTGATGTGTTGCTATTGTGTACAAAGTCTGCCATATCAAGGATGCCTGCTTTATTTCTGTTTGTAAATTGTCGTTTCTTTTTCATCCTAGTGAAAATGCTGGACTCAGATGTATCTTCCCATACTTCTAAACATTACTTTAATAATTTTTTTTGTTGTTTTACTTCCAGAAGTACCAAAATTCATAATGTAATTCTGTTGTAGCTGAGGAGTTATTGCAAATGAATTAGAAATTCTTTTCAGATGTTTAGAACAGCATTATGTGTTCAAATACCTTCAAGATTTTACATCTCTAGACATAGCAAATCAATGTCATCACATTTGTTATGGTTATAAATACAGGGAAATTTGAGAAATTTTTACTTTATTATTGTTTAGCTCACTTTGAATTAAATTTCTGGGAAGTACAAATGTCTTTTACACTCTGGCAATTCACAAAGGCGAATTAATTGATAAACACAGCCCAAACTGCAGTTATCTAATAGAAATCGTTTATGTAAACATACTCCTGCTAATTTAACTAAGCTTTTTACACTTAATAGTTTTGAACAGTCTGTCTTCAGAGTACAAGGGTCTTGATTCAGCAAAGTACTGGTATGTGTTACCAGTTAAAATAATTCAAAAAGTACTACTTGTTTTTATTTTTGATAATCATATGCAGTGTTTTTATTATTTTTTTTTAAATTTTCCTGAAAGAAATTATGTTTAGGATTACAGATAATTAATAAAGCAAAATAAAAATATGGACATTTAAAGTATACTGTATTTTCTTCAAGGTTTCCTTCACCGTGTCATCCTGCAGCACCTCCTGAGCATATGAAGGAACCTTTGGCTTATATGAGGAAAGCACAGGTTGGTTGTTATCAATTTTACAGTTCTCATATAATCTTTGGTTAGACTATTTCAAATTTATTTTAATTTTATTAATCCAATTTTAATGTTACTGTGCAATTTCTAGTGTTTATACCTTAGGAAAAATAAAGATTTGTACCTATGTAGAGTTTAATAATAATGTTGTATATGTAACATATTACATACATACCATAAATGCTCAAGTAATTCTCCTGCTATGGAAGAAGTGGGATGTAGTGGCAGGTGGGTGAATATTTTAGAAGAGAGATTACATGAAGCATATAAAGTAGGAGAGTTTATTTCTGTTGGGAGAAAGATGTGTAGATATAGGTCATTTCACTTAGGATTACAAAAATAATACATAATAAAATATATAATATATATTTATATAAATAATATTATATTAGGTATACAAAAATATTATCTGAAGAGATACAGGTAGGCAGTTTGGCAGTGAAAGACCACAAACTGCATAGATACTGAGAGCAGAAAGAAGAAAGATATTCAATAATTGGAAATTGGAAGGAAAAGTTAAAGCTTTAGAGCTAAGGAGCTTAAGGAATATTGAGGGGGAGAATGGGAGGAACAGGGCTATAAAGGATTGAACAAGGATTTTGGTACTGGGGAAGAATATTTCTACTCCATTGGATTATTTCATCCCCGCATGCTATTTGAAATAAAATCTTGCATGAACCTTTTGAGTTTTTTTTTTTCCTTTCCATTTTTAAGAGTATGATCCAACCAGAATATCAGAGATAAAGGTAACATTGTGTTTCACACAGCCGTGCATGGAAATACATTGTGATATTCTTTTACAAGTTATTCAACAAATTGTGTTACTTTTTCAATCATATTGTTGCTTGTTGCAGTAAGCCTTATTGTGCTGCTCTGTGTTTTCTGTCTTTAGCATGTGGGTATAAAGATTGTATTAAACAAATTTACTGCTGTGATGTGGAATGTAATGCCACAATTTACTGTCTGAAAATAATCACTCATATCAATGATTGCTGACATGAAAAACACACAAGTACTTATATACGTGTTTATGTATGTGTTTGTTTGTCTGAACCAGCTTAATTGGCTATTATTTCATAAAAGAGTATGTAGTGCTTAGATAGCACAATATTTCTGATACAGTGTGGAAAGGATGGTTTTTCTAATAGTTTAGGAAAGATAAGGAGAAGTTCTGTGTTTACTCATTTCAAAGTTTCACTTACCTAGTTCAAAGAGAATCATGCGTAGTTGTTTTCAAATTCTTTCTTGAAATACAAATAGTTTTTGCAGGGAAATATTGATAAGGTGATGATTAGAAAGTTGCATAAGAGTGTGGTTAGGGAATTAATAAGACATTATCCAAACACATTGGTGTGTGTGTGAGCATTTGATTTTTGAGATGCACTCATTTATCATTATTGGTAAAAGGCCCATAAGAAAACAAGGGGGCAATCAGCTCAGTTGAATCTCAGCTACGTTTTGTTAATCTTTTGAATAAAAAAGAGTGAACAATGTAAAAAGTTGATGAAGCCAATGTTTCCATGATTTTATTCATTTAAAATATTTGAAAGGAGCTAAAATGCAATTATTCAGATCTCTGATGTCTGCTAAAACTAAACCAAAAGTGGAAACTTACTGATTTATTTCCACCAGGTATCAGAAATCTAATGAATATTTTGAAGGTAGAAGGCTGTTTTTGTTTTATTTGTAGGCGGATCTTTTTGCCCTTATTTCTCTTCTAGCATCAAACAATTGGAGAAGAATATTTTGATTCTTTGATATTTTGATTTTGAATATCAACAATATTGGTTCTAATAGAAAAATGTTTTCCGTGTACATCATATTTGATTTTTATTATGCACAGGAATGGCTTAAGATGCTTTTTCCAATGTTATGAGTTCACTGGCATTTTCTTTATCCTTTTCTATCTTAATTTTGTTTTACTTCAGAATTCTGGGAAGAAGGGTAATACTCTCTGAAAACCATATTATTTTGATATCACTAATTGGAATGACTTTGAATGAAGCACTAATTAAAACTATATTTGCCTTTTTTTTTTTGTTACAACAGATATTAAAATATTCATGGTTAACCCTTTTTCTTCTCAAATTGGTTATGTTCTCTGATTTTTAGCTGGCAGTCTCAAATTTATGTACTGTATTCTTTTCATTATATCAAAATAACAGATTTCTAGGAAATGATAGAGCATTCATATCAATGAGTAGTACTGCTATAAATCAGTCATGCATTTGTGGCATTGTTCAGTGTAGAAGAGTACTGCAATTAATAGTTATGCTTTTGAATGTTAAAGCAAACGTGCTGTGTATTTTCTAACTGTGTGTGCTGTAGCTGGAGAGATATTCCTGCAGTTGAGTTAAGGTAGATCATTACATTCAGCTTCTTCATTCAGTCTTAAATGAGGTCTTTCCTAAACAGAGGCCCTTTTTCATTTCTTGAAAATTGACATATACAATATCTGTCAATCCTGTCAAACCTCTCTCAAAAGTGTCAGATAATTTCACACTCTGGTGTTCTCCGTGCTAATTGGTCTGGTTACAATTTGAGAGGATTAGGTCACCTACTGCCACTTTGCTAAATGGGAGAATTATTACTTGTGCATCTTAATGCAGATTTGGCGCTATTACTAAATTCTAGGATTTAAAAATTGAAGACTTTGCTAATTTGGTTTTGCTGCCCAGCAGGCATTGGTTTGAGTTGAAAAATTCTTAAATCTGTTAGACTTCTTTCTTTTGATATCCGCATTTTGATGAGGCAAAATGATGCAAGCCTTTCCAGCTCTTTAGTTCTGAGTTCAGCTTTTTCTTGATTTAGGAGAATTTCTGCAAACAATGATGTATAATTCAAGTGGGCAATGTAAAGATATAAGAACAAACAGAGATAAAGATATGAAGCTGAGTGCAAAGAAATGTTAGGAATTGTTTCTGACATCTTCCATGAAGCCATATTCTGATTCTGTCCTATTCTGATCTTACAAAGCTCATAACAAGCTGAACACTATAGATTACTAACATGCTGCACCTTCAATGCAATAACTCTACCCATCTCTGGCTGGGCAGTTGGCTGTCACCCTAAGAGTATCAGCCTCCATTGCTCTTTGGAATGAGCTAATGCTCAGTCTTGCAAAGCTGTCTCATTCCTCAGTGCTTTTTTTGCGTCCTTTACATTTTGGCATTTTGTATTTTTTAAGTTTTGATCTTTATTGTTTCACTTGATTTTTTTTTTTTTTTAATTAACACCTCTGTATTCTTTGCTTCCATTTGCTTGTATGGTTTAGTAGTCTTTGTGTTCTTTCTCACTTGTCATTTCTTCCAGCAACAAAACCACCATCTCCAGCAAAATAGAGTACTGTAAATGCTTCGTTCCTCCATGAGAGAAAAAAAGTAGTTTGGTGTCATGCTATTGTGTTATTGTGGCACTTGGAAGGCATTGTTTTACTGGGTGCAGTAATACAATGAAATAACAAATATTATACAGAATATTATAAAAATTACTACAATCAGGAGAATATTTTTTACACCCATACTCGACCTGTTTTGTTTATAGAAGAGAAGGTAAAGGGATGACTTGATTTGGGGAAAAAAATGTTACCGATAAAAGATAACTACTGTGTTTGATAGAAAATGTCATAAAATATTGTAAATGGAAGCGAAAATAAAGCAATTATAGGCAAGACATAATCTTTTTTTTATTATTATTATTTTATTTTTTATTATTATTATTTTTTTTCCTTAAAAGAACATTTGAACTTCTGCCCTTCCCTTTATTTGCTTCCTGTCTAATAAACTGCAGCCCATTTTTGGACAGAAATTTAAAAAGCTTAAATGGTTAGATGGTATCTAGCTGTTGTCAAATTTGTGCCTAGAGTTAATTACAAATAATAAATAGAGTTAAATGAAATTAACAGGAGTCCTTACATTCATTTGATTGAAGCTTGACTCATCATCTGCAGAAAACGAAATTAAATATAAAACCCACAGTGCAGCTGTAATCATGGAAGCAATATCCAAAGCCAGTTGACTAGGAAGTCAGTACTAGTTGGCATTAATTCCAGGGGAATTATCCACAGATCAGGCCACAGAAGTGAGCTTGACATCTAATGCAATAATCAGAAAAATCTGATTGTTCTTTAAGCTGTCCATTTGCATTTGTGGAATTTGTCATCGATGCATAAGGAAGTACTAGGCTTATGTCATAAATCAGTGACTGTGAAATGTATGCTTTTTAGACATCTAAAGTTTGGGGAGTTCATTTTTCTGGTTCTTTCTGATGATGTAGTTGATGAAATCCATGTCCTCTGTTGTTTCTATTTAAACAACCGTGTAAACTTTCCCTTAATGCTTTTGCAAGTGTCAGTGGTTCTTGTTATCATTTCTTTATATATGAGTTTAGAAAGCTGCTTATTCTCAGGCAAGGCAAAATTGGAGAAAAAAATAAGTTTTATGTAATTTAATTTTTTTGTGCGTTTCAGGGAAGCTGGGAGAAGCGAATTCTAAAAAGTCTAAATAGTATGTGCACGGAACTCAGTATCCCACTAGCACAGAAGGTAATGTATTATGAAATTTCCGTTGCCAAACTGACGTATTTTTTCCTGAAATTAAGCCTGGTCTTGCATTTTTTGTAGTGTTCATTTTACACTTGGTTATCAAGAGCTGCAGGACTGCTCTCCAAAATATTTTAATACAGAAAATAATTTTCAGACTGTATGCTTGAGCTGAGCTTGAGAAGATGGCAGTCTATAGGAGGATCTTCCTCTGATGTTGCAGGAATTAATCTCTTGAGGGAGCAACATGTGGGAGAGCTAATTGCTATGTTCATTGCTTTTAACAGAATGTTTTTGTGTGCAGACACAGCTGTATAAGATACAGCTGCACAGCCTATAGATAACGTGAACGTATTTTGTTTGCTGCATCATATGTGCCCAACTTGCTGGTTGTATGTGTTTCCCTCCCCCTTTTTTTAAAAAAAACACAGATTTTCATAAAAACATAAAATTTGAATACTTACATACTTTAACTATATTATATATTTTCTATGTGGCCCAAGACAATTCCTCTTAACTCAGTGTGACCCAGGTAAATCAAAGGGTTTGACACCCTTGCAACCGATACTTAGGAGAGAAAGATACTGACACAGAATTACTGGCTGTCTTTGACAATCTGCATTTTTTTCATTATTTATTTAAAAGCTTTAATTTTAAAGACTACAGATCAGGATAATAATGTTAGAATGTTTCATTTTTATTTATTTTCCTGCTACCATATATAGAATTTTTGATACAATATATAGTACTTTGGTTTTCTCTACAATATTGTTCATCATCAATGATAAAAATGCATTTGGTTTTGCTTTTCATGACTGTGCCACAGATGGGAATTTGAGGACAAAGTCCAGAAGCTCCAGCTCTAGCTCAGTAATATGAATCTGACCACCAAATAGCCTAAAATTCATTAGTAAATCCATAAAACTGTTTAATTTCTACCTTTCCTTTTTTTCCTAGAACTGGAGCCTGGGACTTTCTGCAGTTGTTAGCTTGGGATTAGTTTTTAGCAGAGGAGTTTTGTGTTGCTAGTGCAGCCTGAGTTTAAAAGTGTAATATTCAGTTACATATTTGAAATAGGCATGCTTTTACTCATTTTGTTAAAAAAAAGAAGAGTTTCTTTCTTGGTTACTTTCAGAGGCCTGCAAGTGAGCAGAAAGAGCTGCTTAATAAATGGAATGAAATGGGAACTGACGAACCAGGTAAGATCAACTAAATTCACATGCATTAATTTTTGGTGCGTTAATATGTCAAATACACGTTATTTATCAACTAGAGATTAATATAATCATTTCAAGGTAAACAGATTTCAGTCTTTTTTTCTAATTTATAATGTTTAACTGTGCATAAGTATTCATTTTATTGTCATTTTGTTTTGAGTTGCTGTGCTAATTTTGAGTCAGCTCTGGGAGTTTATGGTATAATACTCCTGATTCCAATGGTTTAGAGATTCATACAGCAAATACATGTCTCTTTTTAGTGTAAAATCAGGCTAAGAAGAAGAAAATATTCAGAACTATGGATAATTAAGCTCATTTTGTTAACAAAAGATAACACCTGCACAGAATAGCCATGTTAACATTTGGGAGAGCAAGGCTAACCAAGTTCATTCACACCCAGGCTCCTCAGAAGAAATTATTTTGCAAAGGTAATGATTTGTATCTCAAGGAGTACTATCTACACAACAACAAATACATTTCATGGATTGTTGATGACTAGTCCTACTTTTTATTTTACTAAAGCAAATTTCATTCTATAATCTACAGTGTTTTAAAAAATCTTTTAAGAATATCATATCACTTTTCATGTCTGAAAGGGGCTCAGTGTAAAAGCTTATGCGAAAGCAGTAAAAAGTTTTCTAGGACTAATGTTCAATTAAATACTTGGGATTTAGAAAGCCAAGGCACTGACTGATAGCATAATCTTGGAGAATGTGTAATAGTTCTAAGCATGATATTTGAGATGATGATGATGTTATTTTAATCTTAGTTGTAAGACATTATTGAAATTGCTACATTGTGTTACATGTATAAGAAAATTGCATGTGTATTTCATCTCTTTTAGTTTTAAGGTACCATAATTGAAATCTTATTTCAGATCTAAGTCTCTTCAGGCCTGTTTATGCACCTAAAGATTTTCTTGAGGTAAGAATTCATGAAACAACTCAGCAATTGAATTGCATCCATTACATTTTTTTTTTATGTGAGGTGGAAAAAGTGTTTTTTAAGTCTCAAAGAGACAAGTAAGCAGTACAATTTGCTATTATTCTAAAAAAGCCCAATTGGTATGATAGAGATGATTGTCCATGGAATGAAACAATAGAAAGTTCGTAAACAGTATTTGCAGAACCTTAGATTTTTATTTTCTGAGTGGATGTCCATATACATATTTACATTGAGACTAAGTGCTACTATTACCAGGGTGCCAGAACAGTCTGTGAGGCCAACCCACACAAATCCCTTGCACTTGTGGATAGCATTTACAAGCCTCTCTCTCCTACAAGGTCCTTCCCTCAATCAGATTAGCCTTTGCACTTTCTTCAGGACTTTTTAAGACAGTGTCTGATTTGACCATTAATTAAGGTTAACGTATTTTATGAGAGTGGCTCTAAAGGCACGTGGACTCTTGTTTGTTACTCTATACAAACTTACTCTTAGTAAGTTTAATATAATAATAAGTAATATCCATATAGTCTTACTCTATGGGTAAGACTAAAAAAGTGAAAATGCTTGTCACGTACGTGCATGCACTTTGTATTCTCTTATTGCCAGTGGGGCTTTAAGAATTCTAAAGTAGATTAGAATATTGAACTGTTAAGGTAACTTCTTATGTTATCCAGCACTTGTAGAAGTGGTGGAGATATTCTTAAATCTTTTAACTGTTGCAGTTCTAGTTCAGCAACAATAGAAAGGTCAATGGTGAGCAATAGTCTCCAAAAAAGAATGAGCTGTGTTGATATTAACAGGTTGCAGTGCAGTAGAAGTGCGTTTGTAGTGTAGAAGAGTTGGTGCAGCATTCACAGTGTGGATTTTTAGGGGTCTTACTTTAGCTAAATTCCAGTCTGATTACTTCGACTGCCTGCCAGTCTATGACCAGAATGCATCAAATGTGCTAAAGGTACATCTTGGTTGTGATGTTAACCAAGCACAGTAGTTGGAAAAGGTCCAGAGATTCTCTTGTGAAGTCTCACTCTTGTTCTGAGATAAGTTGGCCGTGTGGGTACATCTGCAGCAGGAGTTCATGCATTTGTCAGATAACTGGACAAGGCAGACAGTTGAACTGCAAAAATGATGATTCTGTAGTGATTAATACATTTCTAACATGTTTGCACTGGTATTTCAGACAAATTGGCATTTATAACAAGTGAAAATGGACACATTTTATGATTCCAGGTATTGTTTACAAAACAAAGTGCTGTTCTCTTTTTTTTTTTTTTGTTAGCTGTAGTTTTAAATTATATTTGTGACCTTCTGTTTCTCCAAAGAATAACCTGATTTAAGCTAACTTTTCCTCTGAAAGCAATTTCCCAACTTATTTCATAATTAATTATAAATATTAAATTGCAATACATGAAGCTGCTTGACTGATTGGTGTTTGAAATTTTAGGTCATATAGGATTGTGAAAAATCAAACATTAAATAGAAATGTTTGGAGTTGACAGGTTTTGGTCTATAATCAAACAAAATCGTTACAAAGAAGAGATTACATGATTGTCAAGACTTAAAAATCAGAAATGATGGTACTACCCATCATTTCGCATGGTTCAAGTGTAGAATGTATATATAAAATAGAACTTACTTTATCAGCTGTATTTTAATATAGAATAATAAATTTGTTGTCATCAACAGTACTTAATAACAACACAGTAGGAGGTTTGGGATTAAAATAAGATGGAAAATAAAATGTACAAAATCCTCAGTTGTATATCCTACCAGTTGTACAGGAACCACATCATCAAGAGCATGACAGAATAGAATTTTAGAGTTGAGATGATCTTCTCATTTAGTCGCGTCAGTCTAGATCAGTCAGGGTCTAGATCAGTCAGAGGTTAATGTATTTTAATGTTTGAAATGATTCATTATAAGTTTAGTGGAATGTCTTTTGTAGTGTAGAGAAGACTGATTGTTAAGTGTGAATTGTTTCATGCTTATCAATTGTAAATACATTTCTGAATCCTACAATAAACTTGATATTCACTTTATTACTTTTCTGAAGAGCTCCTCTTTTCAAGTTACTCATGACAGAAAATTTGATTAAACAGATTTAAATTTATTCTGTTTTCCATCACTGCACTAACAGTCACGTTGTGCATTTAATCTTGAATCTGCAAACAAATCCATTTTCATTTTAGACTTATGTAGTGACTTTCTAGGTCACTTTTTTTGTTTGTTTGTTCTCCTAAGACTGTTTTCTTTCCAGAATTCTCAGTTTGTTTCATTAGTCTTTTAATTTACCAGTCTGATGGTGAGTTTCCCTGGTATTAGAATATTTAAGACTGAGAATTGTAGAAATAGAATGTTGCAGAATTTCATAAAAGCTGGAAATTTACCTTTGAAGGATTCTTTGCCAGCTTAACATTATAATATTAAAACATATATAATAATAGTATATGTCAGATTTTCTATATTCCAGCTATTTACCTTGACATTAAGTTCTTCTCTTTTAAATTTTATCCTTACTTCAGATTTTTGATTTTGTAAAAATGAAATAAAAAAACTTACATGGAAGAAAGTATTTGGAGGTTTTGTTATTTAGTAAGAAAATATCGTAGTAGCAAATTGTACCTCGTTTTGATTCAGCACTATGTAGGATTGCCAGTGTAAAAGCATGAGTAAAGATTCTTTCAGAAAAGCAGTAGTGCTACAGAATATCCTGGATACTGTAGCCATCAGAAAGATTCAAATAGCTTTGCAAAGGAAGCTAATTTTAGTGGAGACATTTGTATATAGCCAGCTCTTAGTCTCATTTATGGAAAATGCTTTCTGCTTTTTTATGTCATAAGTTGAGCTTACTTTTCAAAGTGGAGTATGTTTGTTCCCTGAAAAAGTTGGCTTCTTTTTTTGTTTTGAAAACGTAGAGTTTGATAATTTGGGCCTGTACATGTAGTAGTTGTGGGAAATGGTTGTATGCCAAAGGTACAGTTTGCAGTGTTGATTTTGGGAGCAGTTCTGAATGTAGATTTCCAAGTATGTGCAAGGAATGATGGAGCTGTTGTTTTTAAGGTCCTGATGAATCTTCGAAACCCAAATTATGAAAATGGAGAACAGCCTAGTTTCAGAAATCATCTGGGGCTAATTCAAGTTCCTCTAAAAGTTAAAGATATTCCAGAATTGGTAAGTATATTCTTTCTTAACAGTAAGTTTCTATAAAAATAATTTTGCCTTGGTGATGAATGAGAATCTATACAACAATACAGTATATTAAAATTGAGGTAAGTTTTTCCTTTTGTAAATGAAAATTGGCATGAACACAAAGTGGATCGCTAGTTAAAATACAGCGTAGAAAAATTTTATGATAAGACATTCTTAATGACAAAGAAAACGTAAGTGCTAACTTGTCAGTCAGTTGGGAAATTTTCATTGTGTGCCACGCAGCTGTTGATTTGATATATATATATATGCTCATGCATGTTTTCTTAACTTTTTGTCAACGGTTTACGGGCTGGTTCGGCCCGGTTCCGTGACCAGCGGGGCGGAGGGATCTGCGGATCCGCACCTCCGGAAAAAGGGGAAACAGGGGACCCCAGAATAATTGAAAACAGCGGCACCGATCTGAGGAGAAACAAACTAATTTACTAAGTATGGTATCGGAATGCAAGATAACACACCATAATACAATATAATTAGAATTGAAGCCAATAAATCAAATATAATGAGAGAATGTCTGAAAGGTGGATAGGCCTCACCATAAAGCTGAGGTGAGATGCGCAGTCCAGTTGAGCAGCAGGGAGACAGGAGCAGCGCCCACGACGAAGGCAGACGAAAAAGAGAGCATCAGGTGACCTTGCCAGGAGTTAAATCTGCTCTCCCTGACCACAAATCCCCTGGGGAATGTAGTTCTCCTTCTCTTCTGGGCAGGTACCCAGGACTTGAGCATTGACAGTTAAACTGCCAGTGCCCCACATGATGTTATGATGTGGAATACTGAAAACCAAGAATCACAAAACCATGACACTTTTTTTTTATGAAAAAAAAAAAAAAACCACCAAACTTCTGACTATTCAATTTATCTTAGTCTCTGTTTTATTTGAGCTGCACAAGATCAGTTAACCTGGCATTCTGATTTTCTTAAATTAATTTTCAGTCCTGTTATAATTTCAGACTGTAAATGAAAGGAATTTGAATGTAAGACTTATTGCTGGACGATAGGAGAGCTGTTCTTAATGCCCCACTCATAAGGTTTGTCAGCATTTTGTGCCGATAGACAAACTTGCATCTGGGTTGAGAAATAGCTCGGAATTAGAGATCATTAACCTAATATTTTATGTTCCACTTTATTATATCCTGGCATAGCTCATAGGCATCTTGAAAACTGAAATGAGAGTAAGGATTGATGTGCGATTCTTCTCCTTTTAAAGACCTGAGCTCTTATGTCATAAATATGCATTTAAAAGGAATACATTTTGTGGAGAAAATATTTGCATTTAGACTTTCAGAAGAATTCTTGTGATTTAGGGAATTAAATGCTGTTAATTTCCTTTTTATGGTTTTGTTTCTTTTCAGAAAGAAGACTTCAGTGAACTAGACTTAAACATAGGACAACTGGGTATTGATGATTCAGCACAAGTGCCTCCTGGTTAGCTAATGCTGTGCTTCACTCATTTAATTAGAACACTAATGCATAGAATACTGTGCAAATATCAAATAATCTGTGTATTTCTTTCACAAGAAACCATAAATGTTTGTTCGGTTTGTAGTAATTTTCCTTAAATAATAGCATTTCAAATACTGAGGGGTCAGATTTAAAGAGATGTAAAATAGTCAGCTTCACTTGAAAGTAAGTTTATTTTAAGAATTTGAACACTGCAGAAGAAAACTGCCTATTTCCAAAAATACAGAAAATACAGAAAAATCTTGTCAACCCTGTAGTGTGACACTGTTAATATATGTACATATAAATGGCTTCTATTATTTTTCCTTGTCTTCAGTTATACCAGTAGAACCAAGCCTTAAAATGGTGTTTTACACAAAAATGAATAATACTATATTATAAAGTTATTTTTCTTTTAAAATGGAAATTTACCTAATTAAAAGTCTTAGTTCCTGTAGCACAGTACAGCTTTTGTATTTTTGTCTCTCTGATCAGAAGTTGTTTAGTATTATTCCTTGAAAAAGAACATTGATGCTGATGCAATTTAATTTTAGTGCCTTCGCATTCAGCTTATTTCTTATTGCTAGAGATATGTAGAAAAATACAGAGTAATGTACTCGTTTTTTTTATTTTCTTGTCTAATATTTGGAATTTGTCTTTATTTCTTAATTTTCTAGAGTTCTTTGAAAATGAGCATGTACGTGTTGGACAAAAAGGTAGGTAGGCATCTATTTCCATCTGTAAAATAAACAAAAAAACTGATTAGTAACAAATACATCCAGTAATTTTATATCTCATACGCCTTTAGAATTTTAACAACTTAGGCAGACTAGAACAAAACATAGTCAATAATAACATTGTAATTTAAACAAGATGGAAAAGGAAGCATCACAGACTACCAGTAGCTATCAGATAAATAGTTCCACAGATATTTCATTAAAATCAAATAGGAAGCATAGACAGCAGCTTTTTGGTGATAACTTAGGTCACTGCTGAATTTCATTTTAAAATCGAAAGGTTCTGGACTCCTTTCCGTGCATACACAGTTCTCATTAGTGTAATGGGGTTTACGTCTGCATCAGAAAAGAATGTTTTAATGTTTATTTGCAACTGCAGAACTTGTTAAATATTGCAGTACTTAACCACCATGTATACACCTTTTTTTCTGAAAATGTTCAGGAGTTTCCTTGAAGGATGAGAAATGATCTGGAAAAGAGTAAACATTTCTTAGTTCAGATTTGATTTTATAAGCATACATACAATGTTTGAAATCCAGCAATACCCATTAGTTACTGTACCTTGTGATTCCTTTTAAACTTTATCAAACACAAAAAGGGGGTTGATGCAATTCCAAAACTCCTTCACTCCCTTTTGTTGTTTCACTGACCAATTAATGATCTTTCTATTTTTCCTCTCTTTTTGTGGTTCTTAGTTTGTCCATTGTCTGTTCTCTGTTCCAGTGCAACTTATTAGGGTATTCCATCTCCCTCTTCATAGAATCATAGAATCACCAAGGTTGAAAAAACCTCAAAAATCATCTAGTCAAGCTGTCCACCTGCCACCAATATTTCCCACTAAACTGCATCCCTTAGTACAACATCTAAATGTTCCTTGAACACCTCTAGAGACAGTGACTCAACCAATTCCCTGGGCAGCCCATTCCAGCACTTGACCACTCTTTCAAAGAAGTATTTCCCAATATCCAAACTGAACTTAGCCTGGCCCAACTTGAGACCATTCCTTCTAGTCCTATCACTAGTTATATAGGAGAAGAGGCTGAGCTCCTCCTCATCACACCCTCCTTTCAGGTAGCTGAAGAGCTATAAAGTCTTCCCTGAGCCTTCTCTTCTACAAAGTAAACAATCCCAGTTCTTCTCTATTTTGTCCCCTAAAAAATCTGTATTCAAGCTTTACTGAGATTTAAACTCCCACACAATGTAATTTTTAATGCTCATCTCTTGTCTGTGTAGAGCAGGCTCTATTACACAGATTGTCTTAGCTTTGTATCTGTGCAAAGACACAGAATCTTGTAAAACTGCAAGCTAAAGGCTTGACCATGAATATTTAAGTTCATTCAAGGGAAATCTTTCTCCATGCTCCATTGGATATTGTTTATGACCTTGCATGTCACAGATGCATTGATTTTCTCTTATGTGAAATATAACTTAGTGTGAGGAGCTGCCATTATTGTATTTTAATTTGTAATTCCGTAATTATATTGAAAAACTCATCTTGTATGTGAAAAAGCTATTTTTTCATACTTTGTGTCTCAGTAAAAAATGGCAAGGTAAACACTCATAGACGCTGTGATGAGTCACAGTCTTTTCTGAAGTTTTGTGAGAGTTGCAGGAATGTCTTCCAATTTTGCTCTTTAGGGGAAGAAAAGGAGATCACACAACATCTGTGTTAGAGCTCTACAGGTTAAACAAAAAATTGGCAGAGAGAGGAAGAGAGGAAAAAAGGGAGGAATCAATTCAGTAGGTTTTTGAATCTGACTTCATCCTTCCATTACAAGACTGATATGGTGATTTTAATGTACAGTTAAATTTAGAATAGCAAGTTATTTCTGAGACTGCTGAAAAATTGGAGGATGCAGATTTGAAAGCGTCTCACTACCAGGAAAGTATTGATCTGTGGGCAGTTAAGTTTTTTTGTTCTTACTATCTATCGCAACTTAGTTTTTTAATCACACACTACTAATCAAGCTGAAAAATCCAAAATCAATTTCAGTATCATAATTGCCTCAATGAGATCAATATTTTCCGTCTTGAAATTTATTTACATTGTGGTTCACAGTACTTTCTAAAATATTCAAACACTTTGCAAAAGTCAATCAGCTCACAGAAATATTCTCCCAAGCCCATCTCTAGATAGTTAACATCAAAATAGGGGCAGTAAGAAAACAGAATAAGCAGCAATCTCGTATTTGATGTAAGATAACACTCGTACTGGAGTATTTTGTGGCTATATATGATCGCGTGTTCCACTTGGTGTCAGCCTAGAAGCTGCAACTGGGCTTGAGTAAAGACATCTAAGTGCTATTCCTCTGCTAACGACAGAATGTCGATTGTTTTCTTTCCCAAAGAGCTACTTCAAAACTGAATTGTGGAAACCAGGCCTTTTAGATATTTTCTCTTTAGTTAATGTTTACAGCATGGTAAACTAGACGGTTCACCCTGTTCCTGAATCTTCATGTTATATGTTTATAGGGCTAAACTGCACTTACACTATCAAATGCTATCTAGTACTAACCTTACTCTCTTGCATTCTTTATTACTTGCATGTATGTGATTTATTTGTCAAATAGATGTTTGAATTCTTTGCTTATAACAAATATCACCTAAAACAAATATTTCCAAATGATTGCTTGCACAGAAAACTGTGATAAGCTACATAAGCAGAAAAAAGGAAGGCATTAAATTTCAATGAAATGTGTTTCTTTATAATACAATTTTTTTTTTCTATTTTTATTTTTGAATCCAGGCTAATGTCCATTTCAAATACATAGAAATGTTACAGAACTCTGTTATTTTTGGTATACATTCGATTTTTAGTACTTATAAAATAGCAATTGAGAAATAAGGAACTTGATAGCCTGATAAACTTTGGAAATCTTAAATTACTGTTGTTTATTGCTTGCTTCATTTTTTACAGTTTTAGCAGAACAAGACAGTGCTGCAGCTCAACAATATGTTCGTCAGGGATGTCCAACAGCACTCCGAGCCGATCTATGGGCCCTCATTCTGAATATTTCTAATCAGCCAGAGGTAAGGGACAAAGTGAGAGCAAAATGTGAAGGTGTATGTGTGTGAAAACACATTTTTTCTGTTCTTGGAAAAGATAATGAAATATTCTACTGAGTTTTTGCACTAACTGATACACATTCCTTTCAGAAACCTCAGTGTTGTGGTAGAGACTTTTAGGCTCTTCTCTAAGTATATAAGCAAAATACTATGGAACAGACTAATTATTTGATCTACCTAGCTTCTGAGCTTTTCCTTAATGGTGCTGACTTTCTTTCAGAGGAGACAAGAAAGAAGTCTCATAAAGATGAAATTCTCTGAAGTTTTATAAAAAGAAAACGCGCGTGCCTTTTTCCTGGCTGTTAGAACCAGTCATAGTCTGCATATACATATCTTGTAAATGGCTTTATATTTGTGGATTGTTTTCATGCCTGTTTGCACAGCAGCATTTTTTCATATTACTTTGTGAAGTCCTCAAGAATGAAATCTGTTGCAGTATTAGAAGACGATCAGTATATCTAGTATATTCATACCATAGGAAGTTAGATCCTTATTTAAGTCATTTCAGAATTGTGACTATTTTGATGCAATATTTTGATTTCAATTAAAATAACATGCAGAGATGTAAGTTTAGTCACAAATGTGGCGTTTTTACTGTATTTCATGTCCTTTGAAGCTGTTGTTACTTTCTTACAACTCTGAGGCTGGTAAGTACATTGATAAGATCTTATCCTTAAAAAAAAACCTGAATCCTGTTTGTTGACAACTTACTTAGCAAGTATTTGTGCAAAAACAAGTCTTTATTAAAATTATTTGGCCTGGAATTGGAATTACTTAGCTTATTCTTTTTTGAAAAACTCGAGCAGGCTTTTGTTTCTAGCAAATAAAGAAAGATTAAATCTTCTGTAGAAGAAGCTGTTGAAACAGTAACAAAATATTATAAATCTTAATCAAGATGTTTAACACAAGACTTTAGTTCTGTGAAATTATTAGATCAACTTGAAGTTTAGAAGTCTTTCTCTTTAAGAGAGCAGGAGTATTATCATGTGAAATTAATGTTGTTGGTTAGACTGCATTTGTTTATATCCTGCTAAGTCCTGTGTGCTCTCAGAGCATCTTTATCTTAATGTAGAAAGTGAAATAGTTGAATAACAATAATAATGAAAAAGTATAATGTTTTGATGACTGAAAGTCAATAAAATAATAATAATAAAAAGATAGAATATTTCACATTAAGTTCATGTAAAGCATGAGCTAGTATGGAAATAAATTTATCAAAATCTAGTTCCTGAAATTGATATGGACAGCTCAACAGTCGCTTTTCTTTTTAAAGGGGAACAAGCTGTATTTTCACATTCTCCTTCAGGAGATATTCTACAGGGTTCAGAGCCTTAAGAATGATCTTATTTAGCTATACGTAGGGAATTACGGTGAGACAGTGCTTTGTGGTGCAGCTGAGGTGATGTCAAGTGGCTGGAGAATGAGAAACCTCAGGAAAAAATGGTAAGTGAGGACGGATGAAATGATGTAGAACTGCAAGTTTGTCAACAGATTCAAATTGTTGAAATTAGGAACTGGAAAAGAGAGAGAAAAAAAAAAATCCCCCACATCCTTCCACATAGAACAGAAATGATTGTAAATGTAGAAAGATACCCTATATTGGAGAATATCTACTAAAACACTGAGTTTACAAATGCTTGTATAGTATGCTAAGATGACATTTTCCAAGTCTATTTCTGCATGATGTAGCATAGCGTTTGTTGTCCTGTGCTGTAAGTTACAATTGCTTTGTGGATTTTGAGTGTGAAACGCATTAAAGGAATAGGCTTTCTGACAGAGAAACTTAGTAACTGCTTGTAGACTGGTGGGGTAGCACATGAGTTACTGTAGCTGTGTTATAAGCTGAATGCCCATAGTTGACTTTATGCTTTGTTAGTGTTTCACGGAAGTATTGATGTAACTATTGCCAGAGTATTAACAACCTGAGACTTCTTCCATATACACCTTCATTTTTTTTTGCAAAATATAGCAAAGCAGTTTTCAGATGCTTGGGGCTGTTTTTTCAGTCTGCTGTGTTTTTTTAGGCTTTATTGGTTTTCCCCTTCTACCTCATATGTATTCTTTCTCTGCTAGAATTGAATTGTGTGGTTGCAAGGATTTCTTACTGTAATATTTTTGATCTGCAGTTTAGGATCTATTACATTTATAGATATGTGCATCTATAACGCAAAAGAATCACGATTTCCTTCTTTTAATCTAAAAGTTACAAGTGTTTGGTATGAGAGACATTGTGTGTGCTAGCATCAAATATTGTTATTTGGAAAAATGTATTCAATAAAGCTCAGCTTCTGTATAAAGCCAGTACACAGCCAACTAAGGGATAATACTGGCAAACTAGCAGTATAATTGGCAACTGTAAGTTCTGTGTAGTTATTTAGATGTTTTTAAAAACACTGCCTAGCAGTGAATTGTTTATTAGTTTTCATTTGTATCTGTATGTTTTAGAGAAACTGTTTAAAAAGCATTTTTGAGGTTGAAAAGTCAAGCCTTTAAAAGCCTATCTACTACTATCACATAGTGACATCTGTACAGTCAGTCCAATTTGCTGTGTGCGTGTGTGTGTGTGTATATAAAATCGTATGACCTTGTGACTGTGTGATTCAGGTTTTCCTGTGGGACATCTATCTCATTCATTGCACCAAACAGATGGCATGCAGTTACTAAAAATCTGTTAAATACTCTTTTTCCCCCCTTTCTTTTGTTACCCTATTCATCCACTGCACTCACATTCAAACAGTGCTTAGAAATTTTTTTTTTCTTAAAATTATTTCATACCTTTATTTATTTATTTATTTATTTTTGTACACTTTTGAGTTAACAGGTTGGAAATCTTAATTCGGAGAAGTCTAGCACAAAGAAATTAGTAATGCTTTACTTTATGCAGCTTTTACTGAGTATAACTTTCTAGGTTTAAAAACATAATAAGCGAGTGAGGTGCAAAGTTTGTAATAGGGCATTATGTAGCAGCATGTAACATCAGTACAGCTATTAGGCTAAGGATCAGAAGCCTTAGATTCCCACTCAGATCTCTCCTGTTCAAAAAGCTGAGAACCTAGTAACACTGTTGTTATCCTCACTGTGACTGAGGATATATTTTACATTTCACAGGAGTCTACTGAAAAGGACTACAGCTTTGGATCACAATCCAAACAGTTCTTTGATTCATTATGAATAAACAAAACTGCATTGAAACTGGTAAACATGTGATATAAGCACTGTATTGCATCCATTATGAATCCTTTTTGTTCTTGTACAGAAGTCAGTTCTTTGTACATCCAGTAAAGTCGTTCCTTGCATATCAAAACACTAAATCTGTTCTAAGTCTGAATAAAGCAGCACAATAATTCAATTTAATGTCAAGTTATTTTGACTGCTGAGATGAAAGGATCAATATTTAAATGATTAGTTGTATTTGTGATTTTAAAAAATATTTTAATAATAGCAGGAAAATCTATGGACCCTGGTAAGCCAACATAAAATATAGTTTAGTAGTTTGCTAGTTATGAAGGGAAAAGGTTATGCAAAACACTGCTCTGGAGATAGCATTAACTGGTGCCTTGGAGCCACTGTTTAACCTCAACTAAGAGTATTTTTAGAAGAATTCTTGTTTTTGCATATAAATTGAAAACTGTGTTCTCCATGTCTAGCAAAAGATAGCTCTTTGCCTTCACATCACTTTCTTCTCTGGAAGAAGCACTTCTAGAGAAATTAAAACAAGGAAATTGTAACAGAAAACATTAGATTATTGGGATCTCTTTCTCAGATTACAGTAAAGGGTGGTTGTTTCATCAAGTACCATTCAGTCATGAGCTTCATTTTGCCATTGTAGTGGTAGAAGTTACATTGTAGGTTTCCATCGTTTGTAAGATGCTTCTGCGCCACTGCTGGTAGGGAAGACAAGTTGTTAATTTTCTCTTTAAAAGAAAAGATTGCCTTTGACTTTCTGCTTAATGAGACAGAATGTGGCTATTCTGAATATTTTCCATCCAAGTTTAGTAGTATTCTAAAATTTTGTGGGTTAGTTATAAACCATTACCAATAATGAAGGGCAACTCCAAACTTTGTCATTAATTTGGGATGCATCCCACAGTAGGAAATGTTGAGGAAAAATTCTCTTTTACAGTTTGGTTCAAATTGTCTCTCCGAGGCAAAATAGCTACAAAAACACTTTCAAAGGACATTTATTCTCAAGCGTAGAGCTTTGTGTCTTTCCAATTTCTTGCTTGTTTATCATCCTAGAATACCCAGAAATAGAAAATATATATTTTCATGATTAAACAGGGGCAGTTCTCACGAACACCTTTATAAAACATGCACTCCAGCTAAAAACTTCATGAGCACATTCAGTAGTATCATCCATATTATCATTTTTTTTCTTTCAGCATGTAGTGGATAAGTAGGCAGCTAATGTGCATTTTGAGGCAGTCTTTACTGATAACACATGAAAAATTGTCAGCTGTAATTTGGGTATTATGTTGTCTCTAAATATTCTGCAGTTCAAATGTTAATGTGATATAATTTAGCTAGCTATTATTCAGTGAAATAAATGGTGGCTATATCTTGTCTATGGTTGTTGGTTAGATTTTATTTTATTTAAACTTGTAGTCATGCTTTATAGAGTAATATTTTAAGATTCCTTAAAATTATAAAATGGAAAGCTGAGACCATTCATTAAATTGCTACAACAAAGTCTGAAATAGATAGATAATTAGTTTTCAATTTAGAAATACTTTTCAATCTTTTCTAAAAGAATTGAATGATTTGATTCTTCTGATATACTTTCATATTTGAATGCCAGGTTTTGCTTTTATTCTTCTGATGTTATCTTGACATCCATCTGAGCTCTGTTTATGATTGAAATTGCCTCTAACCTTCACTTGCAGAGTCAGTTCAGGTGGATTTAGCATTCAGTTTGTTTTTGATGTTTGTTTATGTAAGGTTTCCTGGGAAACTGACAGATCCATCTGATATCACTAAATTAACTCTTGCCAATGCATTCGATGAAAAATTTGTTTTTAATGTTTTCCTTCAGTAGCAAAACAAGCACCAAGGAAAAAAGCTCAGCCTTGTGCTGTACAAACAAGTTCTAAATGATGAAGTTGTTAATGTTCTCTGCTGCTGCTTCTGTTTTCTAAACAATACATTATTGTTTTTGCTTTCAGAGTTGTAGCAGAATTCAGTTTGTTCAAGTAAAATGCAGACATTTGGGACTGTATTTGACTTACGTTAAGTAACTGGAATGGGATTTTATTGTATTTTTTAAAACGTTTTCCGTGTTTTATGCCTGAGAACATTGTAAAGACTAAAAATAATGTAGACTTACAACAGTTATTTAATGCAACCTGATCTTTTTGGCTTGAAACTCTGATTAAATATAAGCATAAATATACAGCATTTAAATATACAGCATTAGCTACATATACGTAGCAACTTAAAAGCTTGAATTGGCCTATGAGCATTAACTCATGAAGCTTCACAGATCATGAAACATAAACACTATTATCTCTGCCTCTGGGCAGGCAAGGCAAAGAGGTTAATAGATAAATCTGAAAAACAATGGGTGAAACATATTTTATTTGGGAATTTTTAAGTAAAAATGTCACTCATTTGCTGTTGAGCTTTGAGGGCAGTAACTTCAGGTACTTTTCCTATTGACTTTACAGTTCTCTGAAGACGTAATCCATCTGATCTAAATGCACAATTCTAGGGTGATTTCATAATCTGCAAGATTAGATGCTACTGAAGCATGATTTGTATTATCTTAAGCTAGTTAGGTTGCAAGTGATAGTGACTAGAAAGACAACACAGAAGAGTGGCTCAAGACATGATATTTGTACCATATATGTATAAAATATCCTTGGAGATATGATTCTGAGCATGACCAAAACTTCCCCAGCAAGAAAGGAGAGTTCTGTTAATCAGAGTTCTCCAAGCTGTGGTTTCCTGTTGGCCAGAAGCCTTTCAATTCTTGAAGAGGCTCAAGATGCACTTTTCTGGGGGGTTCCTTGTCAGAGAGGCTTCCTTTTTCTGACTGGTATTCTGAGCCGCCTAACTCTTGCAATGTGTAAGCAGCCTGCGTGCCTTGGAACAAGCAATTTTTGCTTTATTGAATCTTACTCTAAACTACTGGCCCATAATTACATGGGAGCCTGATGACGATCAAGAAGAAATTTATCGCAGCTTCTTATGTTGTGCTGTTTAGTACAGCTCTCTACTAAAGAACATGTAATTATTTGAAAATTATTGATGAAGAACTGCTGATTCTAGTTCAGTTCTATCTCTATCGTGAGTTCTTCGAGTGATTATTTGTAAATAAGTTAAACTTTTTGTGTCTCATTTTTTGGTTTGTAGAAAAGGAGATCATAATGCTTCTGTTTGACTGCAGACTATGCTACACAAACTGTCTTGCTGTTTCTTGCCTATATAGAGCAACAGAAGACTTCATTCTAATCTTGGAATGTTCTAATTGGACTTCATTCCAGTGTTGGAAATGAGCTTCAGAGTTCATCACCTTGCTGCCTTGAGTATCTGTAGTTTGGAATCTTTTTGGATGATTAGATTTTAGAGAGAAGTTGACACCTACAGCAAACCACTCATCTTCTTCCCATTCTTTCTGAATATTTTCTTGAAGTTAAAACTCTTCTTACTATTTGGTTATGCATATTTGAGAAATTGGCTATACGTTTCCTAACAGATTTGAATGCTGCCTCGGTTATAAACTTTGTGAAATATCAAGCACGTTAGTGCTTGTGGAATACTTTTAAGGCATCTTACTTGCATAACAGCAGAAACAGTTCATTCCACAATATGCTGAGTGCTGGTTGTTGTTGTTTGTTTGTTTGTTTGTTTGTTTTTTGCAAGCTTCATCTGTCATAATATGTGCAGGTATTTGAGATAGGAAAAAGAAAAATAGAAAAACTTCATGTATTATTTTTTTCAACAATGCTGCACTTATATATACTAATGCTTTAAAATTCTAACATGAATATTAGAGTAGTTATCTGTAGCATTTGAAAACTGTGCTACATTCAGACTGCTACTAGTTTATATTTAGTAAATATTTGTGTCACCCTTTCTAAAGAATTAGTGTACTATTTATACTTTTTTTTTCCATCCCCTCATTCCCTATGGTAGCTACCAGTACTTAAGGAATAATGCATTTATCCTCATTTCAAATTAAGTGTAATGTATTTCAAATTAAGTACTGTATTAATTCTAATAACTTTCTAAGTGCATGCTATTAACCACTTGCCAGTTTTTGATCAGTGCAAAGAGCAGTTGCAATGTTCCTTGGGGCCTTCTCTCTCCTTTCTCTCATTCTCTCCTTCTATAATGCTGTTTTCAAATTTCACCTTCTCTTTTTTTTTTTTTTTTCTTGAAATCCTTACTCCAGTCTTGCATCTTTTGCAAAGGAATCAGCAATATTATGTAAATCTAGTAATATACAGACTTCTCTGTGGTGTCAGGAGAAACACACTGAAATTTAAAAAAAAACATTGTAAAGACCTCAGGACTGATAATTTAGTTAATATGTTATTACAAATTCATCTAAAACAATTTGAAACAATAATATTCAATTCTTGGCATAATGGCAGAGATGTATTTATGAATTACATGAGGATAGTGCAAGATGTCACATCTCTTTCTTCCACTGCAAGCTCTTTCTAAGAAGAAAGGGATAAAATAAAAAACACAAAGAAATGTTTGTTCTTTTAATTTCTTGTTGTTTCCCCTGTATTCATCTTATGTATGCATTCAGGAAATAATTCAAGTTTTAAAACAAATCTGAGTTATTTGTATTCTTCACAAGATTTTTGATACGTTTAATCGTGATTTTATCTTTCAACATTTTAAAAATGCAGAGACTCAGATTAGTGTAAAATATTTGCTGCATCTCAGTAACACTAGAAGATATGACATAACTCATTAATGGAGAGATGCTTGAAAATAGATGTTAACAACTGAAGAAATATGGCAGTGATTTTAGCATAAAAACAGTTTCGACTGTTTAGTGACCCAAAAGTTGGAAGATGAGAATCTTTGGTTTGAATTAGTTCCTCCATTCTCATCCTATTAATTATGTAATAATTAATTAATAATAAAAATAATTAATGAATAAACATAAAGGGGAGTTCACTTTATGAAGTCTCAAATACATGCCTCATCTCTGGAGCCTTTTAAGCAGCTATAGAGTGCTTCCTAAATTATGCAGTGAGACTTTGAGCTCAATACATGCTTTTAATTTTTCTGTATTATTATTATTAGAAATCATCTTTCATACTTTGAACATAAATTACAATTTTGTCTCCGGCTGATGATGATAATATTTTCAATTTTAGGATATCTTGTATTATGAGCAGCTCAAGTCAAATGTGATTCAGCATGACCTTTTAGTGGACAGCTTGATTTACAAAGTAAGTAATCCATTAAGTGATTTATATAGTCATCACAGCAGTATCTTGTTTGCAGGTTTTTTTTGTTTGTTTTCTTTCTTTTTTTTAACAAAGAAAATGTTGCATAGTTTTGTTTTAAGAAGTGTCAGAGTGATTACAGTGAATTATTGTAATCTCTCTCCTTGTTCCTGCAATGTCTCTTGTGTAAAGCATTTGTTTAAACTGTAGAAGAAACAGTCATAGAGAAAACAGTAACTTCATTTTGAGGAATAAATGATTTCTGAAGTAAAATAGCACTGGGGCCCAAATGATTTTGTTTCAAATTTCAATTCTAAATACTTCAATAATCCACTTAATATCTTGGTTTTGCATTTTACATATGGATTATATGCTTAACCGTAAGCTTTTTCATTATTAAGTGGTGAAACAGTGTTTCTTACCATTGTGTTTAGTTAAGTCTTTCACCTTCAAACTGCTTCATTTTTTAATTTCAGGATGTAAAGCTAACAGCAAGCAATGATGACTACTATTTTGTATTTGAGGATTATTTATATCAGGTATGTAACTTCATTTTTCTATCAGAGAAGCTAGAGAGCACACTGCTGTGGCAGTATATAGCAGGACCCTAGACACGTGTGTTGGCTGCATTATGTATATCTTCCCTTCAGAGTATCAGTGCTGCAAACAAACCTTGTACGTTTGGACAGATTAAGCATGACTTGCTTCTAAAAACTCCTGAAGGACCCTCAATCATCCTTCCAATACCAAAAATATGAAGTCAGCTATATTCTTTCTTTTTCTAGCTTGGTAACAGTAAAAATGAATGAATGAACAGAATAGCAGATTAACAGAAGGTGTGGCACACAGAGATATCAAGAGTTGAGAATTTCCAGTCTAAAAACAAAAACATTTCTTTACAGCTCTTAGTGTGACATACTGCAATAAGCACAAAAGATACTTTATTGACCTATTTTTAAACTGAGCACATTGGTTCTGTGTAAGGTAATGATGTGTATGGTTACTTCTAAGCTTCCTCCCATACTAAAGCTGCTACTTGCAATAGGGAGTACAGCTAATTTATGTAGGATTATCTTCATTGCTGCCTGTCAGATATCATTGAACAGGAGATTACATTTATGAATTTCCTAATGTGTACTTGATTGCAGTGTCAACATAAATGTCATGCAGCAAACTTCACATTCCCTTGTTTTTTCCAGTTTCATTAGTCACACTTGTTAGGTCAGACTTGCTTTTTTTTTTTAGAGCTACGTGAAACAGTTCTTCTTTGATGGTAGTATGTAAAACTGCCAATAATATGGAGAACTAACAAAAACTATCCTTAATGTAGTTTATTCCATATGAATAAAAAAATGGGGGTTACTATTTAAACATGCTATTCAATCATGTCTACGTATGATATTTTTAACACAGTGATTGTTTAAACATTTACATTAAAAATCACAACCTCAAAAAACTATAGTTTATTTTACTTAAAATAGTTACAAAGGTAACATCTGCATCTGATTTCTTTAAAATTAATTACAATTTTAAAAAATAACCCCACAGTGACATATCTTGGATTATCATATCCAATAGTTTATCAGACATTTCTGTACTTAATAAGGGGTTGTGTCATTATTCTTACAGCAGCATCATTTCTGTGAATGAGAAAAATAACGTACGAAGAGAGAAACTTGTACAACTGTGACTTTGTGTCAGATGTTCTTATTTTAATACTTGAATCTTACATCCCTTATAACTAGTATGTGCAGAGAGCCTCACCCAGAAGTTTCAGTGTAGTCAGAACTTGTGTTTGGGTTGGAGTCTACTTCTTATAAAGTTACGTGGTCTTAAAGACCTGCAGATTCTGATGCTGGGCACTGTAATCCCCCTCTGTGGGCGAGAGAGGCTTCAAATAAGGTTACATTCTTTCCCCTATGAGGACAGAATTTATGTCCCTTCTAGATTAGTTCCTCTTTCTTTCACCTCAGTTAACATATATAGAGAATTACGTTTGCCTGTGTATTGTTATTGTCAGTTGTATTTTGGCAGCTGTGAAAATGACCGTGTATTGCACAAAAATAATATTTAGCTTAAACTGTTCAAGATAAAGGAATTATTTATTTTTTAAAAGATGTTTGTATCTGAGAAGTAATTTTGAGATTCATGAAAAGGAAATTTCTCAAATATGCCTTGCTTCCAAAAAAATAAAAAAGAGTGGTCGTCAGAGGTCACAGTTTTGCGTGTTTCCTTTCGATAATGCTGATCTCTGGAAAATGTTTGCAATAATTTGTTGAAGGAAAACTCCATTTGTTTTACTCATAAGAAATTATGTAGTAAAACACCATATAAACAATTCCACATCTTACACCTTGGCTGCAGTTTAAGGAGAAACTGTTGAAAGCTGCAAGAATAGCGGGTTTAGTTATTTAAGTCAGCAAATTGTAGGTTGTTTTACTTCTGCCCTCTTGTGTCCATTCTGGATAACACAGTCTCTCATTGCATGAAAACAGGAACATTTTTCAGTTGTGTACAGGATGAGATTCTTTATTGTTGTGGGTTTTTTTCTTCTAGGAATGCTTTTAATATTTAATTTTTTACTCAGTTGCTATGAACAGTAAATTGTTTCTTTACGTAAGCAGTGAAAAATACAGATGTATTTTGTAAAATACAGTATGAATTTCAGAACTTAAGCATATGACGTGAACATTCTCACTTGTTCTTTTGGAAAGTACTGAACAGTGAAAGCATTCTGCAAAGCTGATGGGAATGGTAGAGAATATGAGGATCAGTCCTCTGGAAATGCATGTATATTACAACATAAACTCTTCATTTGCATATGCTCCTACTTGGACTTCCCTAAGTCATAGTAACCAAATGGAAAAATGACCTATTAGACATCAGAGCAGCCAAGTGCATGCACTGCACTTTAATTACACAGCCACTTTAATGACTGTGATTAATGGGAAGGGGGGAACTAAGCAAAAACTGAAGACAGTACTTTTGAAACATTCCAGAATGTTCCAATGCTGATTATTCAGGTGTATATCAGTATGACATGACAGAAGGGAGTAAACTGCTTCATAGAGGCAAAGAGGAAGATTGGAGGATGTGGGTGTTTTGCTGACAACAAATGAATGTGAAGATGATATCATAGCAAACTCCAGATGAGTCTAGAAGTTTTAATGAGACACTAAATGGAGCTGGTCAATAGCCTTCAACCATATTAGCGTTCTTCAGTAGCATCTTACAAGTGCTAATGAAAGTGGGTGCATGAATCTCTATTTGGCATTTCTTTGTTGATTGTCAGCTGATTTTTTTTTTATGCTGTCTTCTACAGGTATTACTCTGTTTTTCACGAGATACTTCAGTATTGGAGCACTTTGCTTACAGCAGTGCTACTCCACCTAAATCATACATACAAGGTAATAGGAGTTGTTTTAAAAAAGAATACAGTATGTGAATTCCTTTTGTGTTCATTACACCTGTTAGACTGCATTTAAAAGATTATCAGTAAGGAACATCACGCATCCAGATGACATCTTCACAGGTTCTATTACTGCAGTTTAGAAACTTATTGCATTACACCCAGATTGCAGTGACGTAATTTTATGGTAGTTTTCTGTGTGTAATTATTCAATGCTTTTCCAAAACAAATTAAAACCCCATCTACGACAGTATAGTAGAATTGTGACATCTGTCATCAGCTGGGATAGAAATTTATATATACATCATTGTCCTCAGCAACTTCAACAGATTTATTAACTGGAAGTGGGGGTAGAGTGTTATCTTCCCAAAGCAGTGCGTTTGGAAGGTATTTGTAGACAGGAACAGAACACGCTGAAGAACATTAGGCTCTGTTACATAGGCTGGAAGAGTACAGCTCTGCCAAGCAGGCTTACACAGATTTTTTTCATTGCACTGTGTATTCCAGAGTTTTACCCAGCCTTTGGATTTATTTCTCTCTGAATCTGATTTTTTTATTTTTTCTGGTAACTTAATAGTCTTAAATTTATCACTTCAGTCCACTTGCCCTCTCAGCCAGCTTCTGCCATGCTTCTGAGCTCTACTGTGTTGTTTCTTAGATCAGCACCTCCTTTGGCTTTACCCAGAGATTCACTATTTTGTCTTTTTCCTTGAACCCTTCAACCATCCAATGCCTTTTTTTTTTTATTTTTTATTTTATTTTTTTTAATACATATATTTCATTTAGATTTACCTTCTCCATTACCATTTTCTTCCTTGGTCCCTAGTTCTGCTATATGTAACCTAGTGGATACCAAGTACTTTTTTTTTTGGCATAAACTCTGCACACTTTGTTTTCCATGTGCTGCTACGTGTGTCACTAGAGCCAATGATTATTTTGTGATTATTTTTTTATTCCTTTCTTATTGCTTTGTAGGTCTTTTTTTCTCTCTCTTTGAATGAAGTAAGCAGCTTACTTTACCTACTGCCAGAAACTAGCAAGGGGCTCACCTGAGAGCAGAACAGCAGTGGGGTCTGGGTCTCATTTCAGGCATAGAGCCATGGCAGCCCAGAAACACTACTATTCTATTTATTCCAAAGCAAATCTGAAGAATGAAGTTGCTGAAATCTAAGTCTTTGCTGAGCATGTGCAGCATAAATCTGCAACGCTTGTAGGTCCTATTTTTGGCTAATTTTCCAAGAGAAATGTTTCATGCTAAAAATAATCAGCTTCCAATTTACAACTCCCAGTTACAGGCAAGCAAACAATTGAAAGGAAAAGTAAAATTACTTGGTATTTTAATGAAACAATTGATTTTTGTAATTGGAAAATACTGGATTTTGTTTTCATGGTTAGGGGGCAAGAGCTTCACAGATTCATTTTGAATTTAATTCTGTCAATTTGTTCTATAGGAGAATATTTAAGTCCAAATTAATTTGAACCTGGCAAAAGTTCCTGTGCCGTTCTTCTGTGTAGAAAGAACAAAATGCAAAGAGATCTGCAGGACCTGTGAATATCCTATACATTTTCACATAAATTGTTATAGTTGAATTTCTCATTTTAAAACAGAGAAATAAAGGAAAGTTTTTAAGTAATTGTAAAATGCTTAAAAACCTTTTTTATAGTGCTAAATAAATTGTGAAAATTTTTATAGCAGATTTACAATACTGTTGACTAATATGAGATGTTCATTTTGCAGGGAAGAGAAAACTGGCATGTTTAATCTGTATAGTCAATGTTTGTCTTAATTATTCTTTTGTATCCAATAGATCACTTTTTTTTTGTTTTGATTTATCACAGCTGTACCATGCATCTTCCTCTCTGTTGAACACTTAATGAAATCCTAAATATCTGGTCTTTTATCTGTATGTTTTTATCTGGTGTTCTTCTGCCTTTTTAAGTGACTTTCCTGTCCCTAAATTAGCTTGACAGACTTTTCCCTCTAACTTAACTGTCTTCAAGGACTGCAGCAAGCACCTTTAGAGCTCTGTAATATTACACCCCAATCAAAATTCTTGTTCTTTTTTTTCGGTTGTTTATCATCCTGCCTTGTTGGTGCTGCTTTTTTGTTTTACATTTGAGAGTGTGTTCGTCCTATTGCATTGCTTACATGCTTTTGGACAGTATCAAATGATCAGTAACACTTGTAGTTATAATTTTTATAATTGTCACTTAAATCTGTTTTTTCACTTACATCTATACACCTTTTAACAATTGCATTGCATTTTAATTGTTGTTTGATGATTCACAGGAAAACTTGGAATAGAAGAGTATGCTGTTTTCTATCCACCAAATGGTAAGAATGATACTATTGCCTCCTCTAGCGGTAGGTTGGAAAGGTACAGGATGTGTTTTTCCTCAAATACGTGTTAACCTCTTTTTCTGTTTCAAAGTGTGTTTTACTGTTATTCTGCCAAATTCATTAATTTAAAGGATTGAGTTGGACTGAAGCTAATGCAGAAGCACAGTCAGCCTGTTGTTAATAGTGACATGAAGTTTGTCACAATTAGAGGGAAAGAGGGAAAGCAACGTCTGGTGTGGCAGCTTGTACTCCAGTGACAGAGGATCATCCACTTAGAGGATCTGAAAGATACATCCTGATCCCCAGCTTTTCAATGCTCTGTACACCATGTTTGAAAGTCACTTTTCCTTTCAAAATTAGCGTTCATTTTAGAAATGCAGATCTAACAAATCAACTTTAAATCAATATCTTTGCAGTTGTTACATCAGTTGTTAATTTTTTTTTCTTCAGCTTTTATTTTGTTCATTTCAGTTCTGATCTGTTGAAACCTCACCTTATTTTTGTGCCACATTTAAAACTCAAGCTCACTGCTATTGCTTTCAAGGCCTCACATCACCAATGTTATATCCTTCTCTGCCTTCTCTGTCCCAGTGATGTCAGTGACAGCATGTTTGTTTGCTCCCCTTTCTTCCGTTTTTGCCTCCACATTTCTTTGCAGCTTTATAGCCATGAAGGTCCTTATGACCTCTTGTCAAAACAGTTCCCTCTCATTGGTCCTGTGGAAAATTAATGAATGGGAGCTGAGATCAGTTGCAAAGGAGGAGAGAACTGTCATACAGCTGCCAACTCCTCTAAATGTTTTGTCTGAGTACTATAAGTAACTATAAGTTACTGGAAGTCTTGGCCTTTTTTTTTTTTTTTTTTCCAGCTCCCTCCTTGTCACTGCATGACATTTACTGGTTGTCATTTAACTGAAATTAGCTTCTGATTTCATCAGAGCTTATCCTTAGTAACTTCATGGAAACAGCTTTACATGGCTTTCTAGGAACTATAGCATGTGTTACGATGCACCGTTGGTGGTAGTGAAGTAAATAATCTAATTTATCTAATATCTAAGTATTATTACCTAATACTTAGATACAAGCTAGAGATCTAAGGCTGTGGGTGCTATAACAAAGCTATATCTTATCCCTGTAGTGGGCAGAATACAATTTAGAAACAGGGGGAAGATACCTGGATAAAAACACATTTCTAGCATGGATAAAAAAACAAATTAGAAGAAGAATAGTAAAAGAAATCTTTGTTTTCTAGGTGTCATCCCATTTCATGGCTTTTCTATGTATGGTAAGTGTGATATTTAACAGTCAGGGATTTCTTTTTATTGTATCATAGTTTAAGGCTGTATGTACCTTTCTGTAAGTATATTGCTCTCTATATTCTATTTTTGTGTATACAAAAGCTGTTGTATGTGATTCTTCCAAGCTGCTTCTACTTCCTCACATTATGATTTTATATCATATGCTGTTTGAGAGCTAAATACTGAGCTGTTGGCCTCCAAGTCAAAAGTAGATTTTAATGTATATGACTAGAGGGACAAAGTTCATTTGCAGAGTTCTCTTTTTCTCATGCTTCGTGTCTTCTAGGTAGACCAATTTATCTGTCAGTCTTAAAAACATGAATTATGTGAAAGGCCTGCTGCTATATTTGTCTTCAAATAGGAGTTAAAGGACTGTTAAGTGATAGGTTGGTTGCTGTTGCCCTGCACAGATGACAGTTTGATTATCAACAAGATTTCCAGGAAGACAGCAGAAAAATCCCCCAGTTCTCAGATGTAACAAGGCAACAAGACATGTTATATAGCAGATGTACTGCAGAGAGGTGCTCAGACACCATGAGAGTATGTGTTACAGGTTTCCAGAGCTGGCGGTGGTGGTGATGGTGTTGGTCTTTTTGTTTGGTTTTTTTTGGGGGGGGGAGGGGCGGTGCGGTGCAGGATGTTATAACAGTGGTATTTGGGCTAGCAGAGAAGACTATCCAGACTATCCTTAAAATGCCATATTTAGCTACTGTATGGGAACTGCTGAATCATGGCCTGAACCTCTGATTGATCATCTGAGGCAAGCAATGAGTCAGCCACCGGAGCACAGGTGAAGGCAATTCACCTGTGCTGCCAGAAGGAGTGGAGCCTGGCTGCACCTCTCCTAGACCCATTTAAGAGCTGACTACCAGTGGGGAAGAATCTCTTCTGGAGATCCCTCCTCTGGAGTTTTGCAGCGAGCCCAAGATGTGGGTAAGCATTCTATCTATTCTCTTTTTTGTTATTATAATCTGCTTTGCCAAACTCTTTTTTTTTTTTCATAATTATAACATGTTTATATTCATTGATTATACAGCTACTAATAAAATTTAATGATCCCACTCCTTTGACTATCATAGATAAAAGGCAATTTAAGTATGAAATGGAAATTTGGACCTGAATGGGGAATGTCTTCTGAAGAAGCAGCTTGGTTATACACTCCTCTTTAAGTGTTCACTAGGAGGCTTTCAATTTCTTCCATGAGAAACTATTTTTCAAAATGTTTGGATTTGACTCTACCCTTTAGAACAGCGTTATGAAACTGTGTGTGAGCCTCTTCCCTCCCTGCTTTCCCCTTTTACTTGGAAAGGGCACAAAATAGACAGGCTGTGAGAAGGGGAGAGATTAAAAAAGCAGGCAGCAGAAACATTATAGTATGAATCCAAGCTGTGCATGAAGCAGCTGAGACCAAGCAGCTGCTCTAGGTGGAACTACCTAGATGTAAATGTCGTATGCATTTGCATGTTTGCACACATACTGTCATACAGTGCCACTTGTCAGGCACTGTTCTCATATCCTCCTGGCCTTTATGTACAAAAGCACTTTGCCAACTCTTTCACCTCAGTCTTCAATCCTTACACATACACACTAGTAAGACCCTCTGCTTTTCTCAACCCAAAGTAAATATTTCTTTGAACATCTCACTTTGCCTTAGTGCTGCTGCCTTTCATACACAAGCACCGTTATTTTCTAGTAAGCCATCTTCTCTGATTTATATACGTAAGAGAATGAATTCACACAATGCAGGTTCTAAGTAGTTTAGATTCTTGAAATATTAAAAACTGTATGCTAGAATGTATTGTATTCCCTTGCTGAACTTTGTACTTTAAAGGGTAGATTATTTTAACAATCTTTGAATAGTTTATATAGCATAAGTTTTGTAAATTGTGCTGATATGTATTATATGGTTTTCACCATACTTCATGCCTCTAACCATTGAATTCTTTTCGCAGTTTACAGCGTTGTGTCAGTTATAATTCTTTTATCCTTTCAGTTGCTCCACTTTGTTTTCTGTATCATGAACCTGCCAAATTGTATCAGATATTCCGTGAGATGTATGTGCGTTTTTTCTTCAGACTCCATTCCATCTCTTCTCATCCTTCTGTAAGTTCATTAGGAATTAAAATCCAATCACTTAATATTCTCTTTGCTATAGAACAATATTATACAGTGGCATAATTTTTCTCTCTGACTAAATATATATCCTTATAATGTAATAAAATATTTCAGGCAAGCTTGGGAAAGGTGTTTGATATCTTTTTCTATCTCAATTTCAGTCTTTGCTACAGAACATAATGCACTTTATGAAATCATGTATTTTCCTTATTAGGCTTCTTAATTCAAGCTGTTATGTAAATACATATTCTGTCCTGTTTTCATTGGTGACATGCGATTGCTAACTTAAGTGCTTTCTAGCATAGATGAGCTATTAGGTAGTCAAATATACACAAATATCTTTTCGGTGAAATCATGTTAATGTCTCTTTCTTTAACTCGATCATCTTTGAATGAAAGCATATGCTTTTTGTCATTATTAGATACTGGAGAGACAATTTAAATAACTTTACGTTCACAGCCAGCTGTTTTAACTGTAAGACAATTGTAGAAGTTTTTGCTTATCTCCTATTTTTTAAAAGTAGAACATAGTAGATGCTTTTCTCTTTTTCCCTCACAAAAGGCTGAATAGTTTTTTTTTTTTTTTTTTTTCCCGAAGTTTTTCCTGGTTAAAAGAAAATCCTTTCCTTATATTTAATGTACTGTTTTGAGGCTGGCCATCGTGCCTTCGGTCATTAATAGTGGGGAAACTGGTTGGACAAGTATCTGTTACCTTTCGTGGTAATTTCTTAAAGAAACTTTAAAATGCGTATTTTTTTAACTATCCCCATTGCTGTTGTCTATTTCTCACATCCTCCTTTTTTTTAATATGTAAGTGGAATATCATGAAAGTGGAAATATTTCAAGTAGGACATTCAAAGTAGATTCTGGCATGCAGCTGAGAGCTGAAAGGCGTTATCAGAACGTACAACATTGCTAATATATACATAAAATTTTAGCTTTAGTGACTGAAGACATTAGAGTTGCTCATGCCCTGCTTACCTGAACTGTATATTGTATCGTTAATAGTGTTTTATTTCTTGAATTAAAAACTCATGCATACTTATGTGCCCGTACTGTTTTTTCAGATTTGACAGCATGAGTGTTAGTATTCAGGATGTGATCTTGTTTCACTAGGGCATTGTGTCATTGTGTTTGCTGTTTGAGACTCTTCTACAAACTCATCTGCCTCAGCTCTTTTATCACCTTCGAGAAATTGGGGCTCAGCCGTAAGTACATCTTACTAACTTGATATAAATGTTATGGATTAATTGTCATTAAGATGCTGCTTGTTCTGTTGCGTTTTAACTTAAAAACCATGAAAAGTTATTCCAAACTGCAGGCATGGATGTGCCAATTTTCCTTGAAAGTAATTTGGAGTCCTTTGTCTAACATCGTTTATGTACATTGGGCATTTCCTTCAGTATGTTCTATGAAAAAGAAAGGGTAATTGCTCTTTGTGTTTATATAAGAAATAAGTGTTATTAGGTTAAGTTTTAATAATTCACATGAGATCTGATTGAACTAAAGGAAGAGTAGAATATTTTTATTTTTATTTACATTGTGATATGCTCATTAGAGCAGAAACTATTGCAGGAAGAGGAGAGCAGGTGGTTGTCATTCTCTGTAGTATACTCATGGCACCAAGTGCAATGGAATGTGAAGATCTTACTGTTGTAATCAATATTCATAATAGTAGCAGAAACTGATGAAACGTTTGGAGTAATAAAAGATGAAGATCATTCTAATTCAATTGTTTGGTCAGAATATTTCAGTGATAGAGAATTTATCTAAGCATGGGAGAGAGAAAAATCTAACTACTACTGTTTATTGCTTGTTTGCAGGCTACGAATTTCATTTAAATGGATGGTACGAGCATTTTCTGGTTATTTAGCTACAGATCAGCTCCTGCTCCTGTGGGACAGAATCCTGGGGTACAACTCCCTAGAAATTCTTGCTGGTAAGGGAATTAGTTTTACAAAGTTTGGTAAGTCCATGTAGGTGTCACAAAATAGACTGAGCTAACGTGTATTTGCCTTACAAGAGAACTTACAAGAGAACTGCAAGTCAAAGAGAATACCTTTTAGAAATGGTATAAATACCACACCTCTAACAAAAACATGAAGTGATTTTTTTTTAAATATATTTCTTTTTTATAATTGTTTTCTGTGGTAGCAGTCCAAAAGTAGTGCTCTGAACAGAGCGTAAGATGTTCTCCTACCTTCAGTGGCAACATTTGATGTGGCAATGATTAAGATTTGAATTCATCACCTTTCACAAAATACAGCATTAATCTTATGGGAAGTATGTCTTCAGTACTTAGCACAACTGAGAGTTGTCCTGATTTGCTGTAATTCTTTTTTAAAACCTTGTCTTTTATGAGACTTTGACAGTTCTGTACTTTTTATAAAGTTAACTCTGTCCTAAGATTTGTGCAAGGTAGAGGCTTCCAAGGAAGTTATATGTATCTTCAGTTGGATCACAATTTAAATACAAGGAATGTGAACAGAAGGGTAGTTTTAGTTCCATTTGTAAGAGACAGCTATGTAGATATGTATACCTATATAAGAGATTTCAAAATGAATTAACATTTTTTCGAGTTATATAGTGCTCACAATTAGAACTGTTGTCATTTTCTAAGCCAATAATTTGGATTTACGTAATAAAATAATTGTAAATCACCTTGTTTCCTTGCAGTTAAAAGGGATTCATCTTAAACACAAGCATTTTTAGTCAAACTTTTCTGAAAGGATGTTTGTTGTCCTGTCAGTTTTAGTGAATAGCCAAAGAAACTCAGACATTGATATTCACAGTATATTATTATTCAAAATCAAACTAATTCTTCTGGGGAGAGAAAACTGATATTTTAGATCAAGATTAATAGATTAATCCTAACCACTAATCAATAGGTCATCAACTTAAATATTGGTTTGTTGGCTTTTCTTTTCCTTCCAGTCCTGGCAGCTGCTGTATTTGCTTTCCGAGCAGTCAACCTGATGGAGGTGACATCATTGGCTGCAGCTGAAGTAAGGATAAGTTTCACTTTGAGGAGATTGAAATAGTTTCTGATGCTTTGCCAGCCACGGTAACCTAAGCCTCACATGGCACGTGGTACATAGTGCAAATGTTTCTGCCTAAATTCTTATCTTAGATAAAAACTAGTTAAATTTTGAACATGCAGTACATAATACTACTTCTCTGGAGTAAATGGAAGTAGAAGTATATTTGTTACAGAAATGTGAAGTTATCAAACTTTGTTGTTTCATTAGCGCTTTTTTCTATTTTATTCTCAAAATATGTTAATGGGATACATTGTTTTTAAAATTACTGTGGAGGTCTGTACTTTTTTCTCAGTGTATTTTACTGTAGCTGCTTCTGTGCTTTTTAATATTACAAAGATTTAACAAAACTAATTTTGTTAATATTGAATCTGAAAATTCATTGCAAGTAGTATCATTGTACAGATAGGAAATGGAAAAAAAAACAAAACCTCAAGATGAAGTTTATTATTGTTTATCTGTGCTAGTTTGTTAAAATAGATTTTTTTTTCCCAAAAACATTGTAATACATATTTTTTAACTTTGAGAGATTGTGATTGTTTCGTTTTGTTTTATTTAAACATACTTCTTTTAGAAGACATTGACTCCTTGAGCCATTACATTGGACTTGCCTCACAAGTACTAGCCAAGCCACAGGATGAGGATTCTTAATTCCCAATTATTTTTAGAAGCAAGTTGAAATGTTAGACCGCTTGATGCCCTATATACTTCAAGTAAGAGTAAAGGCTAAAATAAAGTTACTTCGTTTTATATATGTAAGCATATACTTCTTTCAAGTGTTAAGATGAAAAATAAGGCAAGAGAAGTTTTTGGCATACTGAAGTAAACAAGTGTAATTTGTTTCTAGTCAGATCTGAAACTAACTATTGTTATGAGTCAATATTGAATCTTTTTCTGACTTCTTTAGCTGCTTTAAAGAAATGTGATTCAAATGCCAAGTTTAACAAGCCTTTTGGGTTTTTTCCTAGGCTGTTCTTGCTGACCTTTCAACCCTGAAGGTTATGCCACTTCTTCAAATCTTCTTGTTTGCTACTGTTACCTAATCTGCTTCAACAATACTCTACTGCATTTCCAGCCTCTCATGAGAAGCTAATGATCATCTATGCAATGTCTGCATAAAACCAAAATTAAACTGTATGTACAATATTCATTTAGAAATCTTAATGGAATTTTCTAGCTGAAAACAATAACTTCACACAGAAGTGTGTGTACTGCATGCTGCTGACTTTCACTGCAACGACGGTTATTACTTGTACATTAAGAATGACAACTTGTGCAAACAAATGATTATGAATCAGTGTCTAAAATGCATGTAATATATAATAAATAATGTAATTCTTCACTTGAGTGTTGTAATGCTAATGTCAGAATTATAAAAGTTCTCTTATAATCTTAAACTTTTTAGAGCTCACAGCTTACAGTATGTCAGATCTGCTACCATAAATTGAGAAAATGAAGATACTTTAATTTCTCTCTCAGGCGTCTTCTAAACTCCTTCCCAGAGTCTCATCAAAGGCCCCATGTTGTAAAATATGTTCCCCTGTAGAAGGCTTGAGCATAGCTTCCTTCTGAACTTGTTGAAGCCAGTCCATGCATGAGCCAAAATATTCCCCTGAGGATGATGCCAAGAGTTCTTTCACAGTACCCCACACCCTTTCTAGGAGGGCAGTGTTATGCCTTTGCCAGTTTTCCAGCCTTGATGATTCAACAGCTCAGGCTGCAGCTCAGAATCCAAACTCATATCAATGTGTGATGGATTTTTACTACACCGTCAGGCTGGCTTGTTGTCTGTTAGCAAGTATACCATTTTTGAAGTCTCTTCCAATTTTTTTCCGTTGTCTCGTTTAATACCAAAGTGGAAATGACTAATGTGATTTGATTAAACATATCTTAATCTGTGGAAAAGATCAAAGTCAAAAGGACATAAGGGGTTATGTAGCCACTGAGTTTGCCATGGCACTTCTATCTTCATCTAAGTTACGTAAGATAAGTTACTTTCAGAGTGACCTATTGATTTCCATGGAAATGACAACAGACATAAAGAGCACAATAACATTATTTGATAGAGCAAATTTTTGGCTACAAAGCACTTTTTTCTACATAGTTGCCACCGTTAGCTATGCATTTTCACCAGCAATGAATAAGAGCCTGCATGCCATGCTCATAAAAACCTGCGCCAATGGAGGTGACCTGCTGTCACCACTGCTGAAATGTACCACCAACACCTCCCTGTATTTTCATCTGCTGTTTGTTCTCCATAAACGTTTAGCAAGTGTCAATGAATGTCAGTGGGTGCCATTTTTTCCACGGGGAGGAATTCAGTGACACACTGGTGGAATTCAATGACACACTTCATGTGCACTTCTGTGTAGAATGCCATTTTGTCAGACTGCCCCTCTACTGCCATCTGTTGCATGGCAATGAAATGTAACAGATTATATGTGGTAAGATTCAACTTCTGCTGCCATACGACCAACACCTGCCTCTGATATCATGGGCTGACAGCATAAAATAGGAGGCATTATTTTCAGAGCAGCCCATGTACATATATGTATTTGTCATTTGTGATGTGTACTGAATGTGTGACAGTGAAATACAAATCCTTGTAATTTGTTCAGCAGTTACCTGAAAAGTTGTCTTAGCCATAGTCTCACCTTAGTTTGAGCTTTATGTCTGTGGTTCTAATTATGTCTACCTGTATAATACAGGAAGAAACCAACTCAACCTTTATAGATTGCTAGTATATTTATAAGGCTAACTTTTATTAAAGTAAAGCTTTGGATTCAGCACAATCAATTCTTATTAAGAACGAAACTATTTAATAGGCTTGACATTGAACAAGAGTGTTTTTAACAATTTTCTTCTGGATGACAAAATAAATATTTTCATTAATATGTGACAGAAGCGGTTTTAACATTTTTACCAGAGGCTTTTCTAGACACTTAGCTTTAAAAAAGAGGACACACATGACAACTCTTATCTTTACAGACAGTATTACCCTATTTTACATATGGGGAATGGAGGCATAGAAAGATTAAGAGATTTGCTGAAGATTACAGAGTAAATTCCTAGGAGATGAGTAGTGTCTCCTGAATTCCTGTTTATATTTCAGGAAGCTCAGCTTGTGTATTAAATGCAGGACCTTATTTCAGGACAGCATATCATGCACACCTACCTCTAAAAATTGAGCATTTTGCAGTTTTTGAAATCAGTGAGGCTTGGTACCAACTTAGTAGTCATAATGTTACAAAGCATTCACAAGAACTGTGGCTTCATAAGGTCTTTACAAGGTTGCCGTCGCTTCAGGGGAATTAGAAGTGTTTACTAAGTAGCAAATGAGATCCCAATAAAGCCTGGTGACCTTCTGTTCTTTCCCATTGCTCAAGTGTATGGTGTAGAATCTGGCCATTATTCTAATCCATCCCCAGTCTTTTTTTTTTTTTCTTTTTTTTTTCTTCCCATTTTCAATAGTTTTGAAGGGAGGATAACTAGGAAAAGATAGAGACTACGGGATTATTGTTCAAACAAGGAATTCTGTGAATCTTAGAATGTGGTCTGTTTTCTTGTGACCTGGCATCTCATTATTCATTCTGACAGTCTCTTTTCTCCCTTCTGTCCCCTCTACCTTCCCCGCTAGCATTCTTGCTCTTCCTTCTGTTCTTTACCTTTGTTTCTCCTGGTGTCTGGACAGGGGATCTTATTCTCTGCAGCTAGCGTGGATCAATGTGCATCATTGGCCAGACCAGTTGTGCTACTGCTCCCTCAGCCTGGATGATGCTGTGCCTCATGCTTCAGGCTTGGTCAAAGGCTTCACTGACTACCTGCAGCTCTTGAACCAGGGATTGTATGGACCAGCTGTGGCAGTGAATCTCTTGAAGACCTATGCTGACTTTTATTGTATGTTTTAAGTTGTCATTTTTGTGACACAGACATAGATGCACGTATGAATAATGAGTATAACCTCTTTAGAATAAGATTAAATACAAACTGGATCCTTTCCTTAGATTCCAACTATACTCTCTTAGAACTTTCTTGAAATCTGTTCTTAAAAAATTGCTTTTACTGGGGTTTCATTATTTTCATGCTTGCATCAGTTTCTTCTTTTAGTTCCAACAAAATATTGTGCTTCAGTTTCTGGGTGGTATTTGTATTTTTCATCTCTCTTGTTTAAATAACACTCGTTCATTTCAAATATTTATAAAAATAAAATGACTGGCTTCTATCTCACTGTTAGATAGTTCTACTAGGCAATATTCATTTTTTAAGTGTTAGCTCTGGAGAGTAGTTCAACCCTGTTTAAGTCCACAGTCCTTCCAGACTTCCAAATTCATAAAACTCCCTTTTTGTTTATGCCATTAGAAACAAGGGTCAGATTTTGATATAAAATCATAAATAAATGGGCACTTACATTAATTTAAAGAGACTTAGCTGAACTTTGAATGGCTCAATTTAACCAAATTGTTTTCCTTACTCTGTTTCCCCCATATGAAATCAACATAAAGAGGTGTTTCAGTACAAGAACCAATTGTTTCGATATCTCCAGATAAAGATCGATTTTTACTGTTTACCTTTAGAATTCTGGCTATGATCTGTCAAAGATTTCTTGTAATTTCAAATAGACTGTTCAAAAAAATGCAAAAGCAAATAGGCTTTTCTAAAAATGTAACCAAGTTATCTTGTTTCAGTACTTCCAAAAATATATTGAAACTTTCATCTTGATGGCTGGGTAATGGAACAGCTGAATAACTAGAACAACCTCTACTTTTTACTGGATTTTTTTGGCCACAGGAACAAATTTTATTGTGGAACAAATATTATTATTGTTATGAGAAATGCAGTATGGAGATTGTAAAACAGCTAGATATCCCAGTAAAGGGAAAAGGTTGGAAAGAGACATTGCTGCAAGATGAGTGTTTACATGTTACCAGAAACCAGCAAAAAATTGTACCCAAAACTCTATTTTACTCTCTTCTAACTCAAAGAAAGCCAATGAATTTTATGCAGTTCTTCCAACAAGAATGAAGGGATTTTACTGAATAGATTGCTGTGTAGAGATCAAATATGGGAATGTAGTGTAGTGAACTGTTCATCAGCCCTAAGTAAGAGTTTATTTAAAAGCTACTGAAATATTTTGCGAAACTGTGGGAGTCTGTTCTCGATTGGGAAGAAGAGACTTTCTCCTTTATCTGATCAGCTATTCTCCTTTATCTTTGCTATTCTGTCAGGTATTTTATGCTAGGAAATGGGGGAGGGAGGGGAGGATGCAGGAGTGGTGAGAACAGCAGGGCTCTTCCTTTTCCCTCCTTTCTTATAGCCTTTTCCTGTTCACGCCTCACGGTGACTGCTTTCATCCCCAGAGCGGACACTGCAAAGGCCATCAGTCCAAACCAGGGTTTGAGATTAGCAGAGCTCTGTATCTCATGTGGCCGGCCACAGTCAGCTTCCTCTGGCTGCAGATAGCTCATGGCGAGTGGCTGCTGGGCCAGAGCACAGCAGGGCCTGGGCTGGGCTTAGCGGAGAAGTCACCCCAGTATGAGAGGGGAAAAAATGTCTCCTTTCTCTTGTGGCAGCTTGCAGAGGCTCCAGGCTCTCTGCACAAGGCCACTCCTGTTGCAGGGCACCATGCCTGCCAGCAGTTCTGTGAAAGCCAGGGAACCGCTGGCTGCCATAAAGAGCAGCAGGAACTGAGAGAGCTCTGGGATGGCAAATGAGTTCTGCTGCTGACTGAAATCGGTCATAGATTTTTGTTCTTAGCTTTTTCAGTACCTTAACAAAAATGCTGGAGCAGGGAAGATTGGTTCGAGCTGGTGGAATGGTTGCGCTTTGCTTTAAAACAGTGTTAAAATTTCTCATCTTAGTGTTTTTTTATTGGTCAGGTCATAATACCAAATGACTGCCGTACAGACTCTAATCACACTTTTGGGAAACGTTTCAGGATGCTTGTGTCTCTGCGGATGTCATGTGGTGCAGCAGCATCCAGCAGACGTCAATGGGAACAGAGCGAATATCTGCTTAAAACACTGTGTTTGCCTTTGGTTCAGTGTGCTTTGCAAAACTGCAGTGCATAAACTGCTGTAACGTGATCTAATCGTCCTAAATACTGGCTGGAGATCAGTCCTAAAATGGTGGCAGGATGGGTAATGCTGCTTTTTGGCAAACCATTTCTTTATTTGTTTATTTAAGACTGCATTCCAGCCCGAGGAGGTTTACCTGTTTCTGCACCGTATCGGACATTACAGCCTGCAGAAGATGAGCTTCACGTTCTGTGAAGTCGTCTTTCAAAATCAGTGTGTTGTTTTAGATGCTGGACTACTGATATGTGCTAGCAATTATCTCTAGAGA